TATGATCGAATGCAATCTTTTTATCATTCCTTAAAAAAATAGGCGACATGTCTTACATACATCTCCATCACCCCAATATTTATGTTTGAAATAAAATAATTAAAGCAATCTTAACGAGAATATCGTATATTATAACGTAAGCTTAAAAATAATTAATAAGTGTTGAGTTCACGCGAATTGTTGGAGACTTGAGACGAAACTCATATGTCACTGCCACACCGCCTACATTTCATTAAAATACGCTCTAAAATAAATTAAGACGTAGATATACTTCTCAATAGTCAGCTAGTCTAGTGAATTTCCCTAGGAAAAAGACTGTGCTAGAAACTGGCTGGTCTGTCCGGCTATAAGATTTCTTACGAACAGTAATGATCTATTACACCTAATATCTAACCGTTAATTTAAAAAGTTAATGATTAATGAAAGAATTTCCGCCATTTTGGAAATCCAAAAATTCTACAAACAAGGTATTGAAGCAAAATTCTTTAACTCTTTGTTAACTTACGACCCCACTTCCATTTAAGGTTTACACTGGTTTTGTTGTTTACATATAATATTTTAACTGTTAAGCAAGATTGATGGACCCCTAAATAAAATGTGCTTCAGTGAATCGAATATTATTTGAAAACATTAAAAGCTAAAAACCTCATTTATAAAATGTTTATAATTCTGCATTTACTTCTACTACGTTCTTAAAATTATTTCCGGATCTTATTTTTGTACAACACCCCAACATGGGTATCAAAAGGAAGGATTTGTGTAAAAGCACAATGCGATTTGCTAAAAGTAAATAGGAATAAAAAAAAATATTACTTGTTTTCGTTAAATCAATAATGTATACAAAACAAAACTAGAACTCCATTTATTCAAACATATAATAAATATTAAAGAAATATATACTCGTATATAAAATAAAACCGGATTAGAAATGGCCAAATAATATTCACCCGAAAATATCTCATTGCGTAGTTCATTTCCCGTATTGCAGGAAGGATAGGAGCTGTCTATCACAGGTACAGGAAAAATGTGGATTATCCACGTGTATCTTAAATATGACATTATCTTTATGTTTCTGAATAATATATACAATATTCGAATACGTCAAGTTATAAGAAAAATATGTATATTATCCTCATGATGTTTGTTTGAAGGTATCTCCAGAACGGCTGAACGTATCGCGATGAAATATGGCACAGGTGTAGAACATAGTCTGGAAGAACACATAGGCTACAAATTATGTTTTTTTTTAATTTCGCGCGGACGGAGTCGCGGGCGATAGCTAGTACTTCATAAACATATGTAGCATTCTTTCTTCTTTGTCTGTGTAAAATGCTAATATAAAGAAAATGGTTATCGACCTCTATTGGCAATTTTTTTTGAATCGCCTTGGCTTTCAGGAATTCAATGTCAAAGTGACTTTTAAGGAATGAAACGTGCTCAATGGCGGAAAAATTCTTTTGATCCCATCGTTTACGTCGCCATTTCATTTCACAAAAAATACATACTTACCGCTTTGAATGATTTAAGACAAACTTAACTACGAAATATCATAAATGTATAAGTAATCATTACATTACATATTAAACTTTATATTTAAACACTCTTTTGTGAATTTTGTGTACGCCTGTCATCTGTATGTTCCTTTGTTTTTTATTGTCTGTATGTTATTTGGTGACCTGATCGTACTTATTGATCACGCAATTAGCGTACCTTTTTAATAAATAAATAAAAAGTTTTTATTCATATTTAAATAATTCATTCAATCAATCAAGACTAGGGAAGTGCTTTAGGAGGGCAAACGAAGATTCTCGCCTTGTAACATTTTATAAAATTTAATTTATAATTATATCTTATTTGTTTTACAATTTTCTAATAGATAACGTTAGAAATTAGAAGTACAATATATTTTTTCGGGATTTACTGTGCCAAGGACCAAATCTGAAAGAGTTATAGTTTCTTAGGAAAGTGTACCACAAAACTGAAAACATTTCAGTGTAGGATAGGGCTCTCTTCGCTGGCATAGGATGATCTGTTTCACTGCTTATTCACTATATGAAATACGAATGATGATGCTAGCTCAGACACCGAATTATCGATTTATATTATTAAGATTTTCTTACTTTTAATTTTATAGATAAACAAGCTTGAGTGCGTAAAGTGCACGTGTTTCACCTTGCGAGGCGTGAAATCCGATTTGCCGCCGATGTAACGAGCGAACGCCCCCAGCCGTGGCACTTAATTACAAAAGTAATTGCAAAAATATTTCTCGCAGTAATTTAATTCTTTAATTTTCTTATTAAATCACTTATAATGAGATAGTTTTTAATTTAATAAATTATTACACGGCTCTTTAATAAAACAAAATAATATTTAACACAGTATTTAAACATTGATTTACATGTTTCCAAATTTAATCCAGTAATGACTTCATTTGCTGGGCTGGAATAATAGGAGGGAGGCGAAGCGGGGATTTTTGGATTTAGTCGAGCGTGGCGATTAAGCGTGGCGAGTAACATATATACGGAGGATGGTCTTTTTTATCAATGCATATAATAGTGGATTATTCAACTCAACTATAAAATAGCCCTTTAACATTTACAACTTTATAAATGAAAGTACAACATTCAATTAAATCATTGTACATTTCAATTAACAAGTTACCGAAGTAAATAGCTCCGGGCATGCACGAATTAAGTCTTTAGTGGTTTGAAACTTGTTGACGTATAATTAAATTAAGCAATATCTCGATTATATCTATTTCTTGATTAAGTTCGTTAATTGAATAACTTAATTAAGTTGTTGAAAATCTCCCGAAGACTTGATTTGATACAGTCGTGTAAGTGACATTTGGATATAACTTTACACTTAAAACTCCATAAAAGTTAAAAATTAATTTTGTTTAAACTTTTTCATTTATTAAGGTAAAATATTACATCATGGACTAACAAGTCTATTTATAAATTTACTAGCTGTCGCCCGCAGTTCCGCCCGCATGGTGTTAAAAAAACATATTAGCCTATGTTTTCTTCCAGACTATGTTCTATATGTATGCCAAATTTTCATCGAGATCTGTTCAGCCGTTCCGGAGATGCCTTCAAAGAAACATTCATTCATCCATCCTAACATTCGCATTTATAATGTTAGTAATACAAAATTATCATTGTATACTTCCTGATTCAAAACGAAATTATATTTTTCCGAATGTATATGGATAGTACACTCAATATTAGGCGAAATTGTTTTTCTTTCTTATTTTTCTTACCGTCTGTTCGCGCCAATTCGCCATTGGGCTTAGCGCCTACTATTTTATGATGAGCAACAGTTTTTGACCACTATTGGATTACCTACATGGATGAAGATGTTTATTAATCCAAATTTGAATTGTTAACTAGTCATTCCTGTCTGTACTCGTTTAACGCTCGCTCAATACACATCTCTCTCCTTCCTTTTTTTTTCCGTAGTTTCGACCTAACTTTTACACCGTCTTACCATAGTTGTTAGACGATTCACCAATCATATTAAACATTGGCCTCTATTGTTTTTAACATTGTGTCACAAAATAAATAAAGTACATAATAATAAATTTATTTTTATTTAATCAAAGTTGCAACAAAGTTTCTTTTACTTACAAGTGCCCAGTACTACTGCCATAACTTATATTACATACAATTATAAATGTTTACAATCCAAAGATATTTAGAGAGATATAACTCTATATATAAACAATATTTAACCAAAAAAAAACTTATTAAACTAATATTCAAATATAGAATGTTTCTCTTAAATTTTTTTGATTAACATAAAATTATTAGCTATAATGAAATTGAAAATAAAATTCAAGATTTAAATACATAGATATAAACATAAAGACATATTAAACAGTCCAAACACAAAATTACAAAAAAAAATATTAAAGAAATGATTTTTTTTTACATAAGCAATAAAAGATGTTTTAAATTAAAATAGAATATTGCATGTGAACAATAAGAAAATTATATAATTTTTTTTTCTACATACCCAAATTAAAATATTAACAAACATACATGTATCCTTATTTATTATTATTTGAAATATTAATTTTTACTTTGTTCTGTCTTTTAATTTATTGAATAGCTTCAAAATAATCATATCAGCTATGAGCAAATAATTTTTTGAATTGATGTGCTATATATATTATATTTATGTATTTAAATCTTAAATAAAAAACCGACTGTATTTTAAACAATAGCTATGCTGATATTGAGCTTTCAGAAATACATAATAGTGGAATAAATAGGTTTTGTCTTAAATACATTTGTACATGATTGAACAAAACACAAAAAGCAGGTTGTATTGCAAAAGGAAATTCGATTTTTGTACATAACTCCGCTGCCAAAATAGCTATTTACACAGAGATTATCTACGTTGTTTTTTTTTTTTTACTATGGTAACGAGACAAACGTAATTAATGGGTTGCGATGTTTTATATCTACTTTTAAATCAGAAAATTATAATAACATTTTCTGCCAGTACTTATAGTCACCCGTGACTTAGGGTAGGCACTGAGCCCCTCAGTGGGAACTTATAGTGAGTTGATGAGGAGATAAAGGTATAGGATTCAACATAATGTATAACATATAAACTACGAGTTAACACTTTTTATTGAAATCGACCTAACCTTGATGTGCTAAAAGCTTAAACTCTTTTTTATTCATTTTGATTAAATATAATTTTTACATACTTTGCCGTTGTTCTATTGTTGTAAATTATCTCGTTAACTAAGTATTACCTTGACGGCTACATTCGAATCAGAAAACACAAAAATTTTTAATTAGCTGCAATCATCGCACAATAACTTGAAACTAGGATGTCATATGTTACACAAACATGTTTACATGATCACTACTTGTGTTACTCAACTCTCATGTTATTGTGAATGTGTAGTACACCCTTATTCAAAAGCGGGTAACTGCTGCTACTATAATATACATTTTAATTCAAGCTGCTCTATCACTAACATATACAGATATATAATTTTTTCATATATTTCATTATTATGTATCTAGCAATGACATATTGGTTATATATTTCAACTATATTGATTGAACATACAATTTAAAAGTCTTTTAACATTAAGTATTCTGTAAGTATTGTGCAACACACTAACCTGCCTTAAGTATACAGACAACAAATCACAATAACTTCCTAATGTCAAAATTCCTTTAAAATTGCACCCAGTTCTGTTGATTGGCGGGCGTCACCGGCTTCTGATTGGTGGCACTGAAACAACATAGATATAATTTCATAAGAATTATTTCAAAAATCAAATAATGTCTACATACAAAAATGTAACAATTGTACACTAAAAATGTCCTGACAAGCTAAATTAATAAGTTTTTATTGTATAGTCAAATATAATCAATATACACATTGTTAGTGGTGCAGATAATGTTAGGCACTAATATTGTCCAGTTGCATCACAAGTGATGTTACACACTATATTAGTGTGATCCTTGGATCACCATACACACAACATCAAATTATTGACTCGAGTCATCTATTCGGTCAGTCCAGACATAGCAATAGTATGTCAACTGTTTAGCCTACTTTATATCTGCTCCGCAATCTTGAAAATAGCAGCGACTATTTAAAAACTATGTGATATGTAGATTGCATAAGTCTCAGCAATCAAATCGGCTTTGGAAGAGCCTTACATTTATTAATATATATTACCTTGCTGAATTGAAGTCACCCCATTCGGAGTTGGTACTAGCAGGGGTAGGGACAGGAGGGGCGGGCGCGTGCTGCGGCGAAGGCGGCGGGGGCAGACGGGAGCCGCCCGGGGGCGGAGGCAACAAGCCACCCACAGATGCAGCGCCCGTACGCTTTGGACGACTGCCTTCACTGCCATCCTTTTTCTGTAAATTTGTAACAATCATAGAACATTGCTACAAAAACTACCTTTTTTCAAAACTTATAAGAATAAAAAACTAAACCATTAAATAACTTTGTATTTATTGCTTGGGAATTGTTCGGCTTGAAAGGGGGGGTTTCAAATAACTCAACAAATTCACCAAAGGGGAGGTCAAAAATGTATTATTTTTCAGTGAGATTCAACTAATCTAACACATGTTAATATCAATAGTGCCATCCCTTGCGAAGGCTTAAAAAAATATTCATATATACATAGGTTTAGTAAAATCATTGTCAATTCTATTTAATATATCTTAATAAGATTTAATTTCATTACATTTCATATGTACAAAATAAGGCAACTATAGTTGAGTGCACTGAGTGTTCAATTCTGATAAGAATTAATCATTAAATAGATTTATTATATTACTATTTGAGTTATCATGAATGTGTCAATTTAACCTTAACATAAAAAATAATCTGTATATATAATTTTTTTACATAATGTAAATATTGATAAATTCACATATATAGCTTTAACAGTTAATGACATTTATATTATAGGAAAAAAATCTCATAGCTATTTACCATTTATGATTCACTATTATAGAATTCTCTAAATTGGGACATTAAGGAAAAGTTAACATAAGACCCAATATAACAAAGGTCTATGACCTATGCATAATTTTATCTTTCTACCTAAATGAAGCTAAGGCTAGTGAATTATGGAGTAATTAAAGAATATTGTCCAATATATTTGTTACCCTTAAAAAAAGCATTTGTAAAAATGTATGAATACTTACAGTAATCTTCATGTTGATTTTTATGGTTTCTCCATCTTTGAAGCCCAGATCAAGATTTTGCTGCTGAGACTGTTCACCTTCTTGTTCTTTCTTTAGCCATTTGAAGTGATCTTGTAATGCAACGTTAAGATCAAAAGAATCTGATCTATCACCAAAGCCTAAGCCTATGTAAGCACTTCGCCCTGAAATTACAGAGATAAAAATCATCATTTATGTTTTGCCTTTGACATAGCGTAGGCTCAATGGTTTTAAACAATATTTAAATTTATATATTTTTAATGTAACAAGTTTATTTTAAAGATGATTAAAATTTGACTGTTGAATAAAAAATCAATTACTAAGATTAGAAGACTATTTTGCCTTATCAACTTACCATTGTCATCTTGGATTCTAACTACAAAATATCTGGAACTATCAGTTACAGATTCTAACGCCAGGCCCGGGTATTTATCAATAGGACATTTCGCAAATAACTCTCCAGTTGTTTTGTCCTCCAACTTCATTATCAACTCATCGCCTTTCGCAACCAAACGCATCCGCCCCGTCCATTGAGGCTCTTGTAAATTCCAATCTGCTGCCCTTAAAATGTAATATAATTTATTTACTTAAGCTCATATTTCGTAGTCAAATATGGAATACTTTGTTCCTTACCTGTACCCTCTATTTGAAGTTCTTGGTGGGATCTTAAAAACGAACACCTCATTCTTAACAAGTATCACACTTTCGTACGAGTCCATTTTAAACAATCGATTTTTCGTTTTACTCACAAACTTAATCAAAATTCACAATATGAGATTACACAATATTATTTCGGAGGATTTTATAAGGTAAATAAGTAGAATTATTTTAAACAATACTACTTTGCTTCTGAAATGTTTCTATACCTACATATTTGACATAGTTTGGCTGACATTAATGACGTGCTTTATCTAAGTTTGACAACAGAGAAAGTTAAGAGTTACCATTCATTTTTTATAATTTCTTAAATTTAACTTCATGTTATTAATGTGTAATAATAATGAAAAGGGCCTATCTAACCTTTGTTAACTTACATGGCGAAATTATAGAATTTTTAAAACTATAAATAAAAACGGCTAAATTGAGGCTAGTTTCGAGACCATCGGGGGCCTAATCGGTACCGACACACCGACACCGGCCAAATCTAGTGAGAACCAAGTCTGGACAATTTTAAATAGAATTTTTGTTAAACATTTTTGACTCGCATTCTCTGGTAAAGGCAACAGACAAAGAGTATATAAAATATATGGCAACAGATGTCATTTGTTATTTCATAATGGTCATCACTCGTCAATGTCATGCTGTCATTTGTCAATGTCATGTCAGTTTAGAGTTTGAGCTTTGAGTTGATCAAAATTAAGTTTATTGTAAATTGTAAGCTTAAGGTTGGTTTATAACTGGTTTCAACTCAAAACAATACAAGATACACATAAAAAAATTACTTTCTAGAAAAACTAATCTTAATATTTACAAAGCTCCTGTATCAGGTAAAATCTTTAACTAAATGTATTAATTTCTATGTATAAGATATTAAATATGTTACTAAAGGTGTTAAATTTGTTTTTACAGGCATACAATAATGGCATACAACGTAAGTTAAACGCTACCCATAGAATTTAGAGGAAATTTTGCAATGCTAACCAGTTTTAATTGAATTAAATTATTCACTTACTTATAAACAAAAGTTATTAACAAACTTCACATCGTAACCTAAAGTAAAATATCAAGAAGTAACAATTAAACATGTACTTATAAAAAAAATATATACAGTAATTTTCACTAATATTCAGCCCCTGCATTTGCCGTAAATTATTAAAACTTATGCTTATTATATTGCTTCTTGATACTGTCCTAATGCTAGCTTTTTTATTTCATCCATTTTTTAACAAATTATCATATAAACTTAGGATGCACTTAAACTTGGTACCATTAATATTCAGCGATATAACAATTACTGATTGTCTGTAACTTTTCATTTGGAAGAAAGTAAAGTTGAAAAGGCTTCAAAATTTTGAAGCCAGTATGGCTTATATTTTAATAAATAAAGTATGTTTCAATAATTTTAATTTATTATAATTTACGATTTACATGTGAATTAACAAAGATGACATAAATTTAAAACTTTACAATACCTAGTTGGCAATCTTATGATTAATCATTATTCAGGCCTTTATTATTTTTAAAGTAGAAAAAAGGTAAAAACACTGAATATAAATTGATCGATAGGTAGGTAATGTTTTTACAGATATGTATGAATGTGGGTTTGTATTCTAGTCGTGTACTGTAGCATTAAGCCATTTATTGCTAGTGATTTTGTCAAATTGATTTATTCAAAACAAACAGCAAAGCAATTAGTATTATAAAACATATATACATATATTCTATATATTAATAAACATAAATATGGGTATACAAAAGCTTTTACATTTTATCAGAATATTTCAGAAACATATAAACATATTTTTCAGCAAATGTACTACCAAAAAAATTGTATTCACGCATGCCATCTATGCACTCAAAAAATTAGAATGTCTGTATGTAATATCAAAAAAAAATCATATTCCGTGTAAGTGATGTATTTGTTTTCCCACAACGAAAAATCGTTTTTAAAAAATATGTCTGCCTTGTTTTTGTTTTTATTTCCACGTTGTCGAAGTCGAGAGAGTAGTCTCAGACCATGCCGTTTTGACAGGTCTTTGACTGGAAGGTAGCTAATGCTGGTGTGTAACAACCGGGTGGGAAGTCGCGGGCGACCGTTAGTTTCGAAAAATGTGCATCAAAAGATTAATGATGTAAAAACCATTTAATTAGAAAAACTTAATTAAATAAAAAAATACGTCCATGAATATAAAAACTTAAAACAAAAAGTGTAAATATTTTAAGCGTATTGGTGTTGCTAGTTGTTGCGCGGTTATAGGAATGCGCAGTTGGCTATGGACCTATAAATCATCCATAGTGTTTAAAAAAAACATTGTAAAGAACATGGCGGTCAAGTCTCAAGCAGTAAATATGCCGAGTTGTTTTACAAATGCATTGTTTTTATATCGTGCAAGATGTGTTTATACCGTGAAAAACTAATAATTTAAGTGACCTGTTTATAGACTTTTCTGATTAAACATTTTTGTTGACAATTATGTAAGAACGAAGACGCAATTCGTCTATCAATGATCGAAGCAAATACACAAATGCACAAAAATGGGAGACTCCCATTATTTGGTGTCGATTGTAGTATTATTGTTTGTGTTTCCGTTTTCTCTTCAAATTGAAAATTACGAATGTCCACAAAAATGTGATTGTCTCGAAAAATATGTTGATTGTTCAAAGAAGAACTTAATTTCTATCCCAAGAATTCCAGAGTGGGTGGAAAAATTGGACTTGAGCTTCAACAGATTAAATGAAGAAGTAACAAAGTATTTTGATAAATTAAATGCTTTAAAAGTGTTAAAGTTGGATAATAATGGTTTGCATTATATTCCTGACTTTCTCAAAACGAGCCAAATTGAAGAAATCAATATGAATCGAAATGATATCGAATCGATAGACGTAGGGCACTTTCCAGCAAACAATTCAATTACTTCCTTGAGTTTAAACATGAATCAAATAAAAGTGATTGATGAGGGAGCTCTAAATAATTTGACAAATTTGATTATTCTAAAACTGAACCGCAATGAAATATCAACCTTGCCGAATCATTTATTCATGCATCAAGCAAAGCTGGAAAATTTGGAACTAAATCATAATAAGTTACATGTTATAAGTGGTCTGCTGTTTCAAGGCTTATCAAGTTTAACAACATTGAAATTAAAATTCAACAATATAGACACTATTATGGATGGTGCCTTCTATGGATTTAAATCTGTTAAATTGCTGCAATTGGATCATAATAAGATTAAAATTATTTCTAAAGGATGGATGTATGGATTAGAATCTTTGAATACATTATCACTTTCAAATAACATAATATCCAAAATTGACTTGGATAGCTGGGAACTTTGTAAAAACTTGAAAATACTTGATCTGTCCCACAATTACTTAATGGAAATAGAGGGGCGTACCTTCCATTACTTAATTAATCTGCATACTCTTAATCTAAGCTATAATAATATTTCATCTGTATCTCAGGAAGCCTTTAGTGATATGATACAATTACAGACCTTATTATTAAATAATAACAAGATTTCTTGGACAGTTGAAGATATGTCAGGTCCATTTTCCAAATTACAAAACCTGATAGTTTTTAATTTATCTGCTAACCATATAAAATCAATAAACTCTAGAGCCTTTGAAGGATTAACCAATGTTATCGAATTAGATTTGGATGGAAATAATATAACTTCTATCCAACAACATGCATTTGAGAAAATGACAAAAATAAAAAAGTTTCATCTTAACTCATCATCTTTATTATGTGACTGCAATTTGCTATGGATAGTTAAATGGATAAGAGATAAATTGGAGCAGAAATTTATTACTGCAACTTGTGCATATCCATCTGAACTTCGTGGGGCTTTGATCTCCAAACTTAAAGAAGATAATTGTGGAAATTCTCCCAAGCCAAAAATTGTTGAACACCCCAAATCACATCTTGCTATTAAAAGTAGGTCAGCAAATTTGATATGCACAGCAACATCAAATCCATTTAGTAATATGACATTTTTATGGAGGAAAAATAATGGTAATGTGAGTAACCCTACTGTCTATGAGAATGTTACAATGACTAAAAAGGGGCAACCTCAAGCTACATCTATTTTAGTAATTCCTAATGTTACCAATGGGGATGCTGGCCGATATCAATGTGTTGTGAGCAATAAATTTGGGACAACATATTCAATGAAGGCTAAAGTAAATATTGTAACTTTTCCTCGATTTATCAAAACTCCTACAAATATAACAGTTAAAACTGGAGAAACTGTTACATTAGATTGTGCTGCTTCTGGAGATCCAGCTCCTGAAATATCTTGGAAGAAGGATGGAGGTAATGACTTTCCCGCAGCTCGAGAGAGGCGAATGAATGTAATGCCTTCAGATCCCAGGTTTTTTATAGTAAATGCTAAAACCACAGATATGGGCATTTACAGCTGTGCAGCTAAAAACCATGCAGGGACTATTATTGCAAATGCTACCTTAACTGTTCTACAAGAACCATCTTTTATAAGAGCTATGGAAAATAAAGAAGTTGTAAGTGGCGAATCTGTTGTTTTACAATGTATGATATCAGGTTCACCTAAACCAGTATTAAAATGGCTAAAGGATGGAGTGCCCATAGTGCACACAGAACGCCATTTCTTCTCTGGTGAAGATCAACTATTAATTATAATCGGAGTTGAACAAAAAGATGCTGGAAAATATGAATGTGAGATTACTAATGAGTTGGGTACGAAAAAAGACACAATAGAAATGAAGGTATTAACACCAGTTTCAATTATGGTAAATGAAGAAGATATGACTGGTATTATTATAATAACAGTTGTGTGTTGTGCTGTGGGAACTTCTATAATTTGGGTTGTGATTATTTATCACACGCGTAGGCGCATGGCACGAGCTGTGCACACTTTTCCCGGTGAAAGTGTAAAAATGACACAAGTGGTTCATAGTGATTGTGATTCACCACAAATGTTTCCAGACAATTTATCTGAGCATTCATCATGCAAAGACAGTGGGACAGGTGATTCAGCTAAACAGACAAGTTTTGACGGTGTACCAACCGATAGAAGTGAACAAGTGCATTTTGAGACTGCAGTTTGCAGAAGTTACTCCCCAGTGCCTGAGGCTCACAAACTTTTGCCCTCCTCATTTAAGCCCTCTATACAAGTGTGTGTAAATACGTCTGTAACACCAGCTACTTATAGTTTTTCTAGTCACAGTGGTAATGTTTAGATATATGTGTAAAAATATTAAGATATGTTAACAGTGTTAAAGTTTCACTAACTAGAGATTTTTGTAAATTCACATATATTTCATAAAATGTTATACATATTTGAGTGAATTTTAAAAACAAACCGTACCCAATTTTTTTGTAATGGAATCTCAAAATTATTTTTTCCACCGTCTGCTCCTAAGATACAGAAGTAATTTATATCTCTAGGCAGTGAAACAGCATTAATATAGGTATTTAAAATATTGATTGTGTAGTACAAAATATAACAAACTTGCCAGTATTGGTTTGATGTAAAAGACTGAATGTCGTTTATTTGTATGGTCATTGTTATTCAATAATATTGATAGGCAATAAAATATTAATTAGATTTTAATTTATTTCTTATATGATTCAATTCATTTAGTATTACAAGTCTGGACTACTTTTTATTATCTCTGTGATTTCAAAGGTAGCTTGTTTCCAATGAGATTGTTAAACTTAATTTTTATTTTTGCTTAAAACATCTGGTTTAAATTGCTTAAAATGTAATTTTTGATAAAAGAAATATATGATTAACTAATAAGTTTCTTAAATATGTCCATGAGTTTGAAAACAGAGCATTTCAATCACTATTTTTTAAATAAAAGTTGGATAAAAAAATTACCAAATATCTATGAAGATATATAATGTCTATTTTCTGTTCTATTTCCTATTAAAATATTAAGAGTTTGGTTTTAGTTAAAAAATTGTTGTTTAAAATAGAAATTATTTCAAAATAATAAACTTAGTTATTTACAAAGAATATTTTTAAGTAACATAGATTTGGACATCAATAATGATTAAAAAAATACATAACATAAAACAATGATTACATAAAATGTTAAAAACGAAATATAAACTAAATATCGTCCAGAATATTTTTATTTACTTTCTTTCAATTACAAAATTTTAACACTTTAAACAATACTATATGAAAAAATATTAGACTTGGTAATAATAAGAAAGTACTAAGTAGTAATTAGCAAGTAAGTTGTAGATGAGCATTGTAATGTTAATTTTTAAAGGAGTGAGATTTTAGAATATGGGCACAAATTATACTGTTTAATTTAAAAACAAGTAGAATAAGAATTTAATTTGTTGGAACCCTTGCTTGACTAATTAGTAAATGACAGGACTAAAAGTATTTGTTAAAAAGTACAGCGAAAATATAATTGATAGGCTAAATTATTAAAACATTTGTAACAATATACATTATAAGTGTTATTTCAGAAATTAACAGGATATTGCTAAAGGTGTTTAACAATAGATTTTATTAAGCATTTGCTTTGCAGTGTCTTAACATGGTTATAAAGCTTTCCGAGGAAATACTATATTGAACAAAAAATAAAATCCTCTGAAATAGGTATAAAATATGTGGCTTTAATTTCAAACCGCCAGTAGTTTACAGGATTATCAATTTATTTCAAGTGTTGATTTCTTGATGGTTACATAATTTGTTTATTCTGAACTTATAACTATTTATTTAGGAATGTTATTTAGTTGTCAAGTACAGATATTGGAATATAGCGCACATTTTAGTACGTGTTTTTTCCTTGATTTCCTAGTTTTTTTAATTAATTTAATCTCAAGACAATTAAAAAAATACACTGTTTTGGTTTTCTTATGCCTTAAATTTTTCAATAATTGCCAATAAAAATTCCGTGTATAGTTCTTTCCTAAACCTTAGTACTTTGCGTGCTTTTACCATAATTTTCTAAAATATATATATGGTTAATTAGCATTTGTAGTAAATATTAGAATTAAGCAGTTTTGTATTATTTATACATTGAATTTAAGGTTGCTACTATTTATAAACTTTATAGAATAAAATCGTCCTTAAAACATATTTGTTTCTTTTCACTAAATATACCTTTATACAAAAATATGAGAGACATTATCAACTGCGGATATCGCCAGGCGATTTAACATACATCCATCTGGGTAAACGACTATTTATTATTATACCAACATTTGCCCAATTCACAGCAGTGAATTTTAGACATTTTTTTTTCAACAAAATAACAATTCGGTTGCTACCTAATTGTTATTTTGTAAAAAAGGTTTGTCTCGTTGGAAGAAGGCTATTTTTCTGAAAATGGAAATTCGCAAAGGGCCCTGACTGTATACGTATGAGAGGAATGCCACAACCGTTGCTAATAAGAATATGCACTTGGCCAACCTTACGTTATTCTTATGGTAACAAACATAAGCAACCACATACTATTGCAATGATTTACATTAGAATTATTTGCCATTCTATTTCTGTTTCCTTGGATAGTAGTAAAGCGGGTATGACATTCTTATGTGATGGTATGGAGATAAAAATAAAATCACCTAATACATTCCATGTATTTATATTTTTTGCTCGTATTAATTTTGAAAATGTGACCCTTCCGTGTTTAGCCAGGTTACGGCCAACCAAACTTCGGCGGCCAACCGGCTGGCCAATTGGAAATTGGCCATGGGCCGTACCCGTCTGTTGGTCCCGCAGGAGGGATTGCACCGCAAGTACAGCAGTGGTTTGCTGCAGTAGATAAGGATCAATCTGGGTTTATATCAGCTGCTGAACTAAAATCCGCCTTGGTGAACGCTCAAGGTCAAAATTTCTCCGATACAGCATGTCTACTGATGATTGGTGAGAATAACTACATTAATTCTATGCTACTACCACTGTATACCATGTTTACGAATTTATTACCCTTGTGTCACTCCCACGTAATCCAAGATTTACTGCTACAACTCTTTGCTCTAAGTTTTTTCTATATTATGTACCTATGTTAAATTCTAATCAACGATTTTTGGTAAACATTACAGGAATGTTCGATAAGGATCGTTCTGGGCATATAAACCTCGAGGAATTTGACAAATTGTACACTTATATAAATCAATGGCTTGCGGTTTTCAAAACATACGATACCGATCAATCTGGCCAAATTGACGAACAAGAATTATCAAAAGGTAAAAACTTTTTTAAATATTTTATTATATTATAACATAAAATAAGATAAAAAAATATGCTCATGACAGTAAGGTTGGTAAGCCCAGGAAGCAAGGTGGCATCATTCGAAAATATTTTTTTTTGTTACAGCTCTGTCGCAAATGGGATTCCGATTCACGCCTGAATTCATCAAATTTTTATCAAAAAGAAGCGATCCGAACACCGGAATGATATCAGTGGACAGTTTCATTGTGTTGTGCATTCAGATTCAACGTTTCACTGAAGCATTCAGAGTGCGCGACACTCAACAGAACGGAACCGTGACAATAGGCTTCGAAGACTTCCTGAATGTAGCGCTCAGCTGCTCCATATAACACAAAATCTCGAATTATAATAATTGAATCTTCACTTTGCTATAATGCATATAAAATGGGTTTAATGCATTGCACATGTTTTTCAAAGTACTCATCGGTCTAAGTTGGGTGAAATGCAAGAAACATCAAGACTTTCTTTAATTTTTAATATTGACATAATTCATTGCTTTAATTTTATATTCCATAGCTTAAAGCTAGATAGAAAAACAAATGAATACTAGATTTGATAATAAAGTATATTAAAAAAAAATCATTTATTTTACTTGATCTAAATCTGCTTTTTCATAAACTCTTTAGAAATCTAGTGTTGTATCTGAAAAAAACAAACAAATCTTTTAATTCTTATTTTAAACATTTAATGGAAGAGTAACTGTAATAATTGTTAATTTAATGGTCACTTTGGGACTCGTTTAGTCCCCTAGGCAGATTCCTCAATATCTCAGTTATAAATTTGTTATTTCCATTACATTTAACAATGACATATCATCCATTTATCACAAAGGTAAAAAAAAAACTTACTTGCATAATTTCGTTTTCTTATTGCTTCAGCTTTCTCAAGGGAGAAAACTACTTCTTGAAAGTTTTTAACAGCATTTCTCATATTATTTTGATGCTGTACATTATCAGGTGAGCTGTCGTCCAGTAAAGTGTGAATTGTAGGTATTTCATCTAATTTCATATTCCTTGCATTGTTAGGTTTGAACACAATTGAAACTTTTCCTGTCTTAGGATGAATACTGAATGGTGATTTGAGAAGATGGTTAAACCCTTTGGTGACATTTACATCTAGCCGTGGATAACAGAATTGTATTTTAATTTCTTCTACAAGATATTTTATCTTTCTTATAGCATTTCCATTCTGAAAATTTAAAAAGTTATATACAGATATTCATAAAACTGCTATGTAGTTAAATATCTAGCTAAAAATTAGTCATACCTCTCTTAAATATGAATCATAAATACTAATAAATGTTTTCCATCTTTCCAGAGAAGATTCCGACATTTTCTCCAAACTTTTTTCCACTTGCTCCCTCAATGCATCTTCTGGTATCATTTTCAGGAATTTTTGTAATCTACTTGATGTTCCCAGAAATTCTTGATCTTGTATAATATCATCAAAATATTTGTCAATAATACTAACAGCTCTTCTGTAAAACGAAAACCAATTTTTATGGAATTTATAAAAACATTTTGATTCTACTCCAAATATACTAGGACTAGACTTCAAATGGAGTTAAGTTAACAAATTGATAAGATTTCTAGTTCACATTTACTAGTGTTACAAATTACCTGATGCTTGAATGTAGATTATCTGAACCTAAATGTACTTTTTTATTCTGATTATCACCGCCAATTATTAAACAAAGGTAATCAGCTACAGCTGCTCTTCCAGGACTGTCAAGAGTTCTTGCCTCATAATCTGATACCCAGCAATGAATGCCACGTCTTCCAGAAAATACCCATAGTATATTTTGGAAACCAAAGTCATCTGGAATATAATTAACAAATGAAGATAATTCTTCTACATGAACGCTGAATATGTAAGTGGTATACACTTATGTAAGTTATTTTGATAAATATGGAACTTTTTGCAGGAAATGTCAATTAATATCCGGTAAAAAATGTAATATATGGTAAATTATTAATCCTAAGGCCAAGCACAAATTTGTACTAATTTTGCCATAGTGTTGAATACTTAACATTGTAATTATAATACATAATTTTCAAAACATAGTTATACTATTATGTTTATTACAGCTATATTTACCTTTTAATGATTTATGAATAATTTCACAAGCGACGACCATAAACTTCCAGCATTTATCACACACTTTAGCCTCCTGACAACATGTTCGCACTTCATCATAATCAGTTAAATCAATATCAAAAACTAACTCCCTTGCTAAGACTACTGCATCATGACGAGATATTGATGGTCTGTGAAGAATAAAATTATCTTAATCACATAACATTTACAATCTGTATTTACTAAAAGATTAAAAGCTGAAATACATACTTATTGTTATACACAGCACCAATATCTAATTTGTGCGGACATTTCTTCTGTAACAAGTTCTGAAATTCTTTCTGATCACAGATTGATAAATACCGTATGTAAACATCGTCAGCCAGTGTAAATGACAATTCTCTGTTGGATAGAGGTTGTGGACTGTTCCCACAAGCAAGCCATCTACAGAATATATTTTGAGGGAATAACCTTGTATAATAAACTGGGAGCATGTCCGAAAGTAAATTTTCATCATGACCTACCTGAAAAAATCATAAATAGGATTTATAAGTATAACTTCTTTAACTTTGCAAACATTTTTTTTAGCAAAGCCGCTTACCATGTTTTCGGATTATTAAAAGATTAGTGTTTTCTTAAATTAATCGTTATTCTTTATGATAAATGTAGAATATTATCACAATGTACACAATTTTCAAACACTTTACTGCACTTTACTTTTCCAATGTCAAAATTTGAAGTTTATAAAATGTTTGGCATTTGGCGGGTATCCGAACCTAATTTTAAAATATAAAAGGTAAAGGCAGTTAAACATTCATCCAAAGTAAGGTCCAGGTTAGTCCAAGACCTATAAAAATGCATCAAAATAAATGAGATTGATTTATAAACAAATAATAATTACGTGCCTTTTTATATTTTTTCTATCGGTTTCTTTTTGTTTTATTTTAATATCTACATCAATCTTATACACACAGAAAACAAATTAATGAAACTTAAGGGTACCCTCAATACACAACATCTTTCATCATTGCAACTCACAGAGTTATTCTTATTTTTTTCTTTAACTTTATCTCTACGCTAGGTATACGAAATGGAACTGAATATACGAAAAACATTTATTATTGCTGCGATACTACCATGGTGTAAGATAAAATTTCGTTGTTATTTCCAAGATATGGTTTTATTTCACATATACTTAGTTTTTTAATGCTACTTTTACAGGTTCCATTTCCGATTATTATGAAAAACTATCGAAGAGTATACAAGAATTGACTACAAAAGTAGTGATGATACTGATGACGAAGCCCTTAATTTCGTGTTTGATTGTTTTAATTTCCGCATGCTTCTTAACAATACCTATTTTTATTTCCTTTACACTTTTGGCTATAGTTTTTGGAATAATTGTTATTATTATCGTGGTGGAAGGTAAAATGCTAAGAATAGTTCCTAATTTGTTTGTTAACTTGCTTACTATAATGTAACTAATTTTTATGCAATTTTTTCAGGTGTAATAGTGTTTGTCATACTTATTGCAACAGTGCAGGGTATTTTGATTTATGTTTTAATTATATCTCTTGTGTCTTATGCAATTTAGCATAGAATTATAGCATTTGATTGTTGTAAAATATACAAGAACCTTGGATTACTGTTTAACTTTTCCAGAAAACTTACATATGTAAAATAATCAGTCAATTTACGTTACAATTTATCATTAAACAAAAAGAATAAAAATTATTCTGATTTGTATGCCAAAGGGAAGCAAAGTAAGGATTTCAAGTTCTAGTTTAATATTGATTCATGTGCCAAATTGCTCTATTCTTATCAGATTTGCAATTTTAGAGCTAATGATACCATTCTCTGGATAATTTTTTTTGATAAGTTAAAACTACTTTGTTGAAGAAACAAAAGAAAGAAATGTATTTATAATCATTAATTAACCAAAACATATGTGTACCGTATATATATTTTTTAAATAAAACGTTATAGTATTTTAATCTGTCCTGAAAATGGATCGATTGAAGTTTATATTATCTGTGGAATTTCTCTACAACTTATGTTTCAAATTCAATCTTTCAATGAGAATGGAGAATGGAGAACTAAACACGACCTTACTGACTTACACTGACTTAGGTAACTCGCTGCATTGCATTTGCAGTGTTGTTTTTCAAAATTTTGTATGTGCCGATTTTTCTTAACATTTATAGTATCTAAGTGTTGTGCTCACTACAATGGAAATTTATACACAAGGTCAGAGTTCATGGTGGCATCGATGATGTAAATATGAGTGTAAGTACTGGTGGTCTCGTTATGTGTAAAATGGTTATTGCTTAATTAATGCCAAAGCCTGTAAGGTCTAGCCTTAAATTATGAAATACAGATAATCATGATTTCTTTTTTTTCACGTATTCAGTTTTTGTAGTCTGCAGATTCTTTTTAAGATAAGATTGATGTTTTTACCCATACGGCTACAAAGTAAACAAAGTATAAAATATAAAAGAAAGAATGCAAGATCCTCCAAGATGTTTTACTATTTCCCTTTAACTTTTTAATATTGTGTACATTTTTAAGTGAAATATCGTCTTATTTCAGGAATCGACAATATATAAGGCCAAAGAAGCGGAAAATTAGATCTGTAAGTATTTGAAATACATTATAGTAGTATTTTAATTACTTAGCTTTATGAATATAGAAAACTGTATCGCTAAAATACCAAGGCTAATGATGTGAGATAACTTGATTACAAAACCTATAAAAAGTAATGAAGAAGTAAAGTATGGTATGCATAACTTAAATTTAACAATTAGATAAGATGTACATTAAATCTTTAATTTTTAATACACAATAAAGTAAAACATACTGTATCTCTTCTATCAATAACTTTAATAAAATTACAAATATTGGTAAACTTAGCCATACAGTAAATAAAGAGTTTAATTTGTTCAGTATATTTATATAAAAAATTGGAAAGTTATAACTTGATGAAGTTGATAACATTGTGAATGATATTCTAATGTTACATAAATTACAGTTTTTTGCACAGTGAAAGTATCCATGATTAAACAGCATCGCTTGTTTTATTAATTTTCCTAAGAATGTTAAATAAGATACAATGGCACTTTCTCAATACATAGAACATGTATTTTCATTCCATCCACATGTGAGTGTTCAATATTGGTAATCCTTCATTTGTAACTAATCTGTTTAGCATAACTTATGTTGTTTATAAGAAATTATTGTAATAACTTAAGAGTTTATTTCAAAATATGCAGTTGGAATTTCTCCTATGTATATTACATTGAGTAGAACAAGATTACCAAAACGACATGAAACACAACTTAAAATGTGCCAATATGCTTTCGGCTCAGAAACTTGCTTTGAAATGTTGTTTTATGTATCAGCTTTAAATACCAACCATCAGGCTTTTAATATTTTTCTTCCAACCTTTGCGACACTATTCTATTGCATATTGTTATGTATGTTTGGTTAATGGATATATGCTTTACAGGGCAGTTCGTCAAGCTGGCGGCCCTCCAGGATGCGGCTCGCGCGCCTCCGCTAGCCCCGCGCGCTGTGCGCCACGTCGCCACGATCACAGGTAACATTTCATACTATTTTCAGTCTGAGTTGATTCTCCTCAGTTCATTCAGATCCATGTTTAAAAAAGATGGTGAGCCCACACTTGTTGGATGATAATAAAAATGCTTCCAAATTTCTGTACAAATAAATTGAGGCTGTTTATTGAAACCCACTTGTTGACATTTAAATTCCGCTTTAATGTGGTCATTTATTTGGCAATAATATGATGAGGCCATTCTTCATCAAAAAGACTACGCCCTCTTTTCGATTATATATTAATAGGTGATTAAGCAATGAATTGAGATGTGTGTGAACATTTCGGCAGTGCGAACGGACGGACTCCAATTACTATATCACATGTGGACGTCAGGCACGTAACGCGAGTTAATTGAAGTTAAGGACCGGTTTTTCGTCATAGCATTGCCAATTCATATGACTCATGTCAAACAAACGAGTTAGTCAACGCGCGTATGGTAACCAGTAGCGCTATACAATTAAAAGTTAGAGACGTGATAGTTTTATAATAGTTAATTTTAACCGTCGTAACACATTATTGTCATCTCTGTTTTTGTCAGAATGAGAGACGTGGATATTTCTTTCTAGTCTTCAGTTTTGACATTTGCTTTTATGTATTTCACTTCCTGTTTCCATTAGGGAACGTGAACACAATTCCGTCACAGATATATTTAGTTCTGATGTCATCTATTGGCATATTTTATGTAAAACAATCAAAGAAATAATACAGTAACCGATATGATATTTCTATTTTCTGGTTTCAGTTGAAATTTAATCGATAATTGATAGTTCCCATTTGTCAAGGTTACATGTGTCGGTTAAAATTGTAACTGTGAATGCTGTAACGCATTTTACAAAAACATAACAATCCATTTCATTGTCTTGGGAAAAATTAGATGATAAGCTTTGGTATATATTTCGGCTGTGGAAACGTAATGTAGGGAAAGCTTATCTTCATTAGTAAGTAATAAATGTTAAAACAGTATGAATGGAATTCCGGGAATAATTAATTCAGTATTGCGGGCAACGTTCTCATTTTATAGCCGTAATACATTTCTATGTGTGTCATCTCGTAACACAATAGTTGGCACTCGTCGATTTACAGGCCACTGAAATAGTTCACATTTTACAGTGCGCTCGTTATTTATTTGCACAGCTTTGCTATTTGGGAAATTGTAAACGTATCTATAATAAAATTTTTAACATAAATTTGGAATAGTTGATGATATCGTGTTGTTCATCTGCTCTTGACATAAGGCTTATGAGAGGGCATTTGATGAACTTAATTCTAGTTTGGGATTGTACTAAAGAGATATCTAATCGAAACCTAGCGCCATCAAAATTAAGAATTCTGCTTCCCATTTTCTCTCTTAAAATTCCCAGAATTTGTAAGTTTCTATTCTACCTAAAGAATTCTACAATTTAGTAGTAAGAAATCTATTGTTGTGGTTATGCTTCAGACAAAGTAACAAATAATGGAGAAGGCTTCAAAGCGTAGGGCTTATGAATGAAGGGGATAACGAGGTGTTGGCATCGTGCCAGCGGCTATTCTGGGCGGGCGGGTGGTCGGCGCGGGCGCCGGCCCAGTCCAACGCCGCGCTTTATACCGCGCCTGTCCAACTAACGCTGCTATCTCGCCTCACATTTACCTTTTCTTTAAAAACATAACAAAACAGCTGAAAATACTGTTATTAGATAATTTGATAGAATTCATGTTTTGTTCATTTTAATAAGGTCTAATGTTAAGGTATACTGTTGGAAAGTTGAGTCATAAGTCATCTCAATAAAAGCAAACCCCGGAGTTGCCACGTTATAATGTAAAGCTTTTCAAATTATGATTATAATAGAATGTTAGTTTAAATAAAGTGGATCCAGTCATCAATATAGTTCACAATCAAGAAAGAGCAATGAAAGGTATCGGCGTTATATATGTGAACCGGTTTGCATGATCATAACAATTCGCTTTGCTTTATATTGCAGTACTTTCAAATTATTTAACCAGTGGTTATTTTGACATTTCAATATAAACTTTATATCAACTTAACCAGTACAAAGAGTGTTTGGTAAACTTTATTAAAATAACTGTATGATTAATCTTTCGTTAATAAAAACGAGCTTCAAAAGCTGGATTGCAATTCAGTTATTAAGCGCAAATTGTTCAATTAAATACCGTTAAGGTTGAGACCACTTAAAAATGTAAGATTTTATAAAATCATTTTGGCATGGTTATTCAGAGAGCATTCAAGAAACGATAATGAGTAAATACATGCTTGGGTCAACGTTTACATAACGCGCTTATGTTTTATCTGCGGCGTAGTTGCTCAACGATATACATAGACTATATATTTTTTATACAAATGAATTTATTACCTTTTCACGGAACACTATTCTTTTTGCTTTTTAGTCTAACAAAAACTTAGTTGTTTGTGCCTATTAAGGTCATACACAAGGCCGTGGGTGCGTTAGTCGAGTGTAGTAACGGGGCAGCCCATTGCGGAGGTGACCCCCCTATCGTACTGATGCCAACATATTGACGACATCCTTATTTTTATTGGCGATGCGAGCGAGTGCGACGACCGGCACCACCTCCACACCAGAACTGTGCGTGTGGCCTCGTAACCGTTCTATTTACAGGACTTTGACAAAATAAACTGCGCTTTATTACACACGATTAGATAACACATTTAGCTGCACTTCTGCAACTTTGTGACCGTTTTGGTCGTTAATCTACATATGGTTTAACAGTCTCTTAATTTCTGTGTATTTAAATAATGTTAAATGTTGTTTAAAGTATTTGCAATAGCGCTAAGGTTTATTTATCCCGTCTTTTATAGTTTGAAATCTATTGTTGTTAATTAGCGTTCGTATTTTGCGAAAAAAAAATTCTAAGTAACGTGATTGCACTAATAATCTTAGTGTTTATTGACTAGTATTGAGCATATAATTATATTGTACAGATCGTACTGTAAATTTCCATGATTCGGTGTCATTATCGAATTCAGTGACGTTTAATATCATTATCGATTATAGCTATGATTAGCGGGGTTGCTGGCGTTCAGTGCACGTCCGCAGATGTCGCGGTAAATGTGGACTCTTTGTTTATTTTTACGTCCTAACTACCTATGTGCCTATGTGCGGTGTGGGATCGGGACTCTGTGTGGGATACAGCCGGGGCTGCGTATGTAGCACGATGAGCGAGAGGCGAGCCCGCCCGCGGCCGCGCAGACGCAATGAAATGCACGAAAAACAGCAAGATTTGCTTCTTGCTTGGAGTGATGGTAAGTTTTCATGACCGTGAATTGCAATTGAAGTCGGTATAAGAACGTTATTGTTATCTCGCTTTTTCACAAATAATGAAAAGGATGGCAATATTGTTAAAATACAAGTATTATGACAGGCGACTCACCGCATAGTTGGTTTTCAAGATTACATTAAGATGTTCTATAATTTGGAATATGTTACTTAATTAAGTGAGTTGTATATTCCTTCAAGTAGATTACAAATTCAAACCATTTTTTGCAATGTAGCAAAGTAACATTTTTACTTAAAATCCAACTTTAAACTTTATGTTCGTATTATTTAGATTCAAATTAATTTGACAACAGTTTATTTATAATCATTAGTTAGTAATTGTTTTTTGTTATCGGTCGTAATGGTGTACCCTTGAATACAGTTTGTTGTTAGGAGCTGTTAATAGACTTTGTTTCAATGAATAATAAGAATAATGTTCAAATACGATCCTAAGTTGTTTTGAGATTTAAATTTATATAAAAAATACGTATTGTTATATTTTTGTCGTACTTACAAATTTCATTTATTCATCAAGTGAGTCAGTATATTACATCGTTTCCTTTACTTTTAAAAACACTAAATTTATATTTATATATATATTATTTGCGATGTAATACTGAGCATTCAGCTCCTTCATTTTATGTAGACGTGTTACGTTTATAATTAAGATATAAATTTAAAATAGATTGCAGTATTCCAGTCAAGTATGTATTTAAATTAGCAGTATTATAATTAGATGTAGATAAGCTATGTCACTTTCTCCTGCGTTGCAAAGTTAAAGACATAGTACTAATGAGTACGACTGAGAAGCCGCATCAGTACGGTAATTACGATATTCACACGAAGACGGCAGGCAGAATAGTAGACAGTGCAGTACTGCTATTATTGTTTCAACCGCACATTTACTGTGAAAATATCACTGTCCGTACAGTCCAAAGTATGTTAAATATCGCTGATGGAAAAGTTAAAATTTTAAGGAATTGACAATAAAGTTCGATATGTCTCATGTTGCGTGTTTTATATTATGATAGATTTTGAAGATTCTACTAGAGATCCTTGATCAAATTTACTTTGTCTAGGCGGATTATTCTGTTTCGGTGTTGTGCGTTCAAACTTAGCAGTACTGAACTGTTGTACTGTTCTGCCCTAGTGTGAAACAACATTAGTACGGTAGTGTGAGGTTACAGCTAACATTCTAATCATGCAAGGGAAGCAGTCAATGCCCTTAATCAGTCTACCTGTTCGTGCTTCGATTCTGAATGTGCGGTAATTTTATCTGTGCATTCACTTAATTGTTCATTTGTTGAATCTTTTAGTTTCAGTGTTAAATTAATAGCCTCGGTTAAAATGAAAATTGTTTCAACTTTACAGTTTATTTAGTCATTTAGTAAATGCACGACACTGGTTAAAAACAGATAACTGATAATTAAAACGGCAATTAACGTTAAAATGTTTTCAATCCAAACACCAAATAAATATTAAGCTAATTTTATTTATTTACCCTTGTAATTACTGTGTATTTATTATTTTTTTATGGACAGGGCTTTCATTTACACTAGCCAAAAGCTTCAAGAAATCTAATCATTTTGGTAACCCCGTTCCCATATTTTTCTGTTTTATAGAAAGGTGTATGACAAAATTTAGAGGTTGCTAATAAAGAGCATGTGGGCGAAGCTAGCTAAAAAATCTGAAAAATCATTCGAATTTTGCAATGTAAATTTAATTACGTCACAATATATAATGAAATCCAACTATCGTAGTGTCTGTAAGAACATATTGTTAAGTCTCAAATTGAATAAGAAGAATGGCTATATTGTTATAGACGTTACGACATTGTAGACTAGCCGTTATAAAAGCTCCGAGTCCGGGCACAGATGCCAGCGGGTGCGATCGATTCGGCCAGACTCCCTAGATTCGCAGGCGCAAACCCCGCCTATACGTACTATTCTATACGTATTACATGCGACGAGTCTGGCTTGAGCGGTATTGATTCGATTTTCAAGTGATCTTATACTATCTCAATTTAGACAGACTGCGTTTGTATAATTCAATAGCGATTCAAAGCAAGAAATAATCTGTACAAATACATTTAGAGTAGATAAATGGGTAACGTATTGCTGAAATACATTTAGAATTAATATGATTTGAAATATAGACCTTTAATTAATGGTAATTGTTAGGCGTAGTTATTTTAGTTATTGGCTCTCGATTATTCTCATTACATAATGATTTGTTTTGCGATATTTGGCATATAGTACTTAAGCATGAATTGCCAATATTTCCTAAAGATTTTCTTACACCTACTTGTTTTGAAACAGTAACTAATTTGAACAAAAAATTGCTATCACGTGTTAAGAGTGGCGTTTAAAAATAAAAATTAATAGTGCTCTTGATGCAATCTATAATTTTTATCTTTTAAGATTAGATAAAGTAGGTACTCGACAACTGAACTGCATATTAATAGAGTGTTCTTTATTCGTTTTAATGATGCTTGATTTGGTATATGAGGTGCGAATGGGAGAGATATATACGCTATGAAATCTGAATAATCACATAGTAAAGATTATTTGATGGCACGTCTATGAATGCAAAAAACATTTCGTTAAAAATTACACGTTGATTCGTAAAAGTTTGTCACCCCTGCTTTATGAGATCAGAGTTTGAAGCAGTCAATCAAAACAATGTCAATTTATTTAATGACAATGAATTTCTGATGATTCCCAAAATACCGTTGACGTTTTTGTTCCCATGTGAACATTTACCAGACTCATTGCAAATGCTTTAAAGACAATGGTTTTACGGAACACGATTACAAATGAGAGTGCTTCTGCAAGAGCGGGAATACAATTCAATCCATCCAATGTTGCAGTGTAATGGAATGTTTGCAACGTGTGAAATTCTTCGACAAAGATCTTGTAAAACGTTATTATATGTTATTCAAACGAGATCGGATGTATTAAAAATACAATAGCGTAGTATACAATGGAGTAGTATTGTACTTTAGCCTTTTCCTGAATGAAAGAAGTATTGAATATGTTTCTATGATTGTTAACTATTATATGTTGATATTAAGGACGTGTACTTTTTCATAAATGTTGTTATTTAAGCGAGTAGCCATCTCTGTTGTGAAATCGTGAAAGTCACGCCGAGGAAAGGAAACTTGGAATTATTTTAAGCTAAGAAAAACCTACACCAAAGTAATGTGCTTGCGATAGGCTATATGTACATATAAGCATCCAAATAAAATTTACAAGGAATATTTTATAAATCTATCATGACTTGTAAAATTAAATGTCATAATGGCTTGTCCTATTCCCGCATCATCTCGTGTAGCATATAATTATTATCTTCATAAGGTTGTAAATGTGAAATCTTCAAGTTGAAACTTTTTGTCCGTTATGTCTTCTCATAGAAATAAAAAGAGAAGAGCGTCATTAGCCTAGTCATTTGAAAGACTTTCAAATTGAAATGAGTATATGAGGCCAAATTAAATATCTCATCATCATCAGCTTACTATACGTCCCCACCGAGGGGCTCGGAGCCTACCCTAAGTTAAGGGTGCTAATATATAGTTATATATATAGTTAATTGAATATCGGCATTGGAAATATCAATTAATATTATCGATATACCTAGAGACGTAAACAATTAAAAAATTCTCATTGATCTGTTTAAGTACATATACCAGACTAATATTTGCAGGGACTCGGGGAGTACGCCCTGCAGATGGCGCGCCGAGCCGCCTCCTTTTTCCCTTTCCCTCTTCCCCGCTCCCCCCGAAGAGAGGGGGAGCTTTATCGATTCTGTCTGGTGCCTCCATGCTAAATACGGAAAGTAGACGCTCGTGCCAAATACGTTCCGCGTATAACTACTAGCCGCTACTCAAGTTCAAGTTCCAAGTCACGACTTCGTATTCAAACCTAAGACTTTCTAGCCAAGTCAATATCTTACTTCGTGTTTTACTCGTAAAGTTTCACTTACGCGAAGAAAACTTATCTAATGATAAGCTATTGGATGTCTAGAGTAATCTATCGTGCAAATGTGAGAAGACCTATGGTAGGGGATAACCTAGACGAAAGAGCGCATAGATTGCAGACGTGGCAAAGATGGGTGTTACCTGAAATTATATCCCCTACCATTGTGTAAAATGTGTTCAAAGTTGCAAATTTGGATAAAGTAATACGTTTACTTTATCTCTGCCTCTTCAGGCTCTCAAGTATGGGTGTATTTTTTAAGTGAAGTAAAACCTGTCACGTACGTTATTTGTGTTAATATTGTGTTTACTTTGTCTGCAGAGGTGTGCAACAGCGAGGAGGTGCCCGAAGTAGAAATCGTCAGCTTGTTGCAAGAGCACATACCGAAATACCGCCTGCGAGCAGACTCACTCACACAATTCGGAGGTAATATTTTAATTTTCCTTTGTGGTCGCGATCGCATGCGCTTCCAAAACGCGGTGAACAAAAGGTTCGAATTCTCAATGAAAACAAAACAAACGTATGATTTTATTTTTGTTCCTTTCAATTTGTGAACCAAAAGTTTCCCATAATATTGGTATAAGAGGAAGACGAAATACTAATAAGTTTTATTTTAACATATTTGGAAAAGGGCTAATTTATTTTACCATGTGGTTACAATTTATAAATTATCTTCAATATTTTCTTATATGTATTTATTCTTATTTTTATTCTGGCAATACATCGTAAGAACATTTTATTTTAATTTATAAACATGTCAAGATAGATAAGTGTAGCTGAGAAAAGAGGTTGAAGATATTTTCATACGTCCGAGAAAACAGATCTAGGCCATGTTTAATTACGTATGTTATGCGAACTAAAAGATAGGTGCAAATATTGTTGTTGCTATCAAATGTATTATGCTCAGATGATATGGAATGTTATCTTAATGACATGGTTAAAAATAAGACTCATTAATTTTTAGAATATACTGATTGTAAAGTGAATGCAGTCATTTCAATATTGATTTTACATGCATCCACCTTTATAGTGGAAGAACGTGGGAGCTTATTTAATATTATAATCTGTATAATTGATAGGTTATCCAACTTCTCTGTCATCCAAGGTTTCACATTTGCGCATAAATGAGACTAGATCGATATCATGAGAGATAAAGCTTAAATGCAACACAGAAATAGCTTTAATCCGCTTTTGTTTACATATTTCTCACAGATACCGCGTCCACCTGTCTGTTAATCTAATAGTATTTAAGATTTATCTATACTTTACGGCTCCGTTCCGTGTGAAGTGACCTTTCTTATCTATCTGTGGTGAGATTTAAATTTAAAACCATATCAAAAAGATGAAAGTTTCTCTACGAATTCGATAGGGTTGATAGAAAAGTCTTGAAAATATTTTTAAACTTTTACTATTTTTAATATTGCTATTTTGTTTGATAACCATAGTGTTATATTGTAAATTTAGACCTTTTTGCATGTCTTTATATTATTTTTACAACATAGCAGTTCGTGACACAGTATTATGTGTAGCCTTAACCTACATCACTTATCGTGATAGTGATTGAATTGTAAAATACAAAACATTATATCATTTCAACTTTAATTTAATAACCTTATAAGTTAAAACATGTATGAATAAAAAATCAATATCTTTACTATCCTTGACATGAAAGGAATCTTACGTAATATTGATATTTAAATGTGTAGAAAAATAAGTGTTATAGAATGTTAATTAGTGTGCATATAACTGATGTTCCGTACAAAGCGACGAGGCTGGGTTTCCGGCGCCGGCGTCGCACGGCTCTATTAATAATGGTGTCTCATCGGCGCGAGTCATCGTCCGCTGACCGGTCTTATAACCTGCGATCTCTGTCAACTGGCTAGTACTTGAAGTTCCACGCATAACTCAGACAAGTTTATGTACGTTTGATGACGTATGAAGGAATCTTTGATAACATAGTTATATATCTATTTCTGTAGTCGGAAGCTAGTTCTGTTCTATTTTAAATTTTATTGTATAATGATCTGTATTCGAACGTGAAATGCGGAATAACTATTTTTAAATGAAATTTTAGTATTTGCTATGTAATTTTTGGAGACTTTATGTCACAAAATTTGATAACTTATGACAGGGACTCGACGAGACATAGCACCTTGAATTGGACATATCTTCTTGGACTCAATGGATAGTGTGTATAATTTATTTTAAAATGCAGCTGCAACTATTTATAGTCATGCAGATGTTAGTCCATCAGCATAGTTGATATCCAAAGATAGACATCCTTCATCTCCCTTAATGAAGGGACTATTTCACTTATTACCTATAATTTTAAATGAAATTAATTTAGACCAAGGTAATTTTACATATTAAACAAGTGTACTGGACCGAGTGAAAGCTTCTCATTCCATACGTTCCCAACAACAAGTACCTTTAGCTACTATTAAACCGGTTTCTAAGGTTCATTATAAGATTGATCGAAACTAGATATTTTAATCTCGTAGGGCGGGTTCCAAATTTCTTTATTTGGGTTCTCTGTTTGATACGGTGTGAACGTTTATACAGCTGTTAATCTTTTAGTCTTGGCATGACTAAAGTGTAGTTAAAATGTTGGAATATTTAGTCTGATAACCTGCGCCCTGAGTTATCAGGGCTAGTGTTTGACCGTGAGAACGAACGTAGTGATGTGCACACGTTAGTATCAAATGTGGTACCAATTTAAACATGTGCGGAGTTTAACACGATTGAACTGGATGTAACGAGGACGTTGTGTGATTCATCGTACTCAGACTTTTTTAGCTCGTGACTGAACATTGTTGGTGCGTATAAATTATATTTATGATTGTAAATGTTCAAATTTGATATTTTGTTATAGGGTACGAGAATCAAGACTGGTTCATACCTTCGCCGGCACTGCCGCTCAGCTCCGAGGACCTAGCTCTCACGCCTGATCAGATCAGGGAAACACTCAATTACTTCCGTGAGTACAATTAATTAATAAATATATTGTTTTTTTTTTAATTATGTTATGTTTGTTATTTGTTTCCTTTTTATTCTCAGTGTCAATAACATTTAATGTAAGATATAAACTCTCACGACAATTATGGTTATTAATTATGAAATTGCTTTAGTAAGATACGGATGTAAGTACTAATGTTTTTATTTCCATTGATTTTTCATTGTCTTCAATGATGTTGTTTCAAAATATTTTTCTTTATTTATTATTTTCTCTCAGTAAAGTAAGGAAATTTCCTTATTTAAGACGTGTACATAACAAATTTATATTTCGCCCACGAGAAGTTCTTTGTGTGTTTACACATTATGTTTGAACCAATTGGAAATTAAAACTACGCCTTAAAATTACCTTATAGCTTCTTTTAACCTGGACACTCTTTGGACAACTTTACCGACTTTATAAAAAGAACCTGTTGTTCGTTACTAAGACTTTAGGTAGACAAGATTACAAAAATATGGAAGAGACAAAAAGTAAAAAAGAAATAGGAACTACATTTTATATATTAATTGAGTACGCTGAAAGCGAATGTTTTACCTTAATCGTTAATGTCTAGTTACGAGATAGTAGTTATATTTGCATATAAAACAAGTTTCTCAACGTAGCCGTATTTCATAAATAAATCTAGCTACACTTCCTGCTGAACAACTAATATTTTTCTCTAATCCGTCTAAACGAAAAGACTGAAAATATTTTTTTTAATATTTTTTTCTTTTTCATATATAAGCATATGAAGAAAATCTTAGCTAAATAATAATTTCCTTGTAATGTACCTAACATTGCTTGTTTCATTAAGTTGTTGACCTTAAAGCAAATTGCAACAATCTCTTTGCCATTGCGGTATCGGTATTATAGTTTCGTTCCGCTAAATTGCGGATTCATGATCATAATATACAACTTAGATATAGATACAACCCTTTCAGGGCGTCTCCCGGCTTTTGCTCAAAATCGATTTGACGTCGGCGCAGACAGTGACTTGGTTGGATTGCGGTTTCTTGCTACATCATGATGATTATGCTTTTGATAAGAGGCCGTTAATTGTTTATTGATAGACAGTAAAATGAGAACTTTAATGATACTGTCTGTAATAAAATAAAAATTCGTATTGTAGCGCATTAACGCTAGTTGCGCGAGCGTTCAGAGCGCGTGCGCGGCGACGGGCTGCGGGGCGATGCGCGGGGCAGGGCGCGCGGATAGCAGTGCGGGCCGCGCCGGTGCAGACGCGACACGCGTGCTGCTGATCGATACCACGCCGGTCGCGCTAAACATAGCGAGGAATGGTGCACCGCTGCACTCGCTGATATACCGACCTCGCATCTTCCGTGAATCACCTGCCGATCGCTAAATTATATCACGAAATCGCATCACGCCATTGCCATGCCATGAACCAGCACACGCATTTTACGTAAGGTAACCAGCCTCCGCATGGCGAATACTTTCGCATCGATCGTTCCTTTTAGAACGTATCTCGGTTGCGCGGTGCGAAATTCGACGCCCAGTCGTCCAGCCAACGATTGAGGTGGCCGGGAATCGGGGAGTAGCGGCGCAACGTCTACAGCGACGGCGGCGCCGCCCCTGCCCCGACCCCAGCCTGCGCAGTACCCCAGACACTTAGTTATTGACCGTGAGGACACAAAGAATTTAGTCCATCTTAGCTTTCCTGTCCGTATTTCGCTCTAATAAATTAGTATAAATATTGTGACACGGCTCAGTATATCAATAAAAAGCTTTTACGTTTTTATATATTATCATGTTTGCTAAAATATTAGTGAGCTTTCTATCCACTTATATATTTATTTTTTTAAAACACGGAGACGAATATAAGGATAACGCTATGAGTAAGTCTGCTTTTAAATGAAGTCTTGATTAAGTATTTTTTTCACTGATGACATTGTTTATTGTATTGCTTTTTGTAGCACTAATTTAAAATTAATATGTATTTAGTAATCCATAATGAATGAAACATATTTCTGTATATAACTTAATGTTCTTATCAATTTTGTAAGACCCGCTGCTAACCCTACGTCTCGAAGCATTGATATTACGCACATGCGGTGCTCGTTACTAATATACCGTGTATCATTATATCGTATGCTATTATCAATTGAATTGCTTTCTAAATAAGAGTCGTAATAGTGTGAACGATCTTAACAGTCATATTGCTAGCCATACAACCGTAATCGTGGCCAGAGCATAGCTTAGTTATAGCCGCGGTGCGGACGGAAGTGGTCGTTCAATGCGCGGTGTTTGCCCGATAATAACAATTTGTGTGTGACACATTGTGTGTGAATCAGTGCTGCATACATATGCACTTGATCGTGAAACTTTCTTATCGTTTTTATTGACATTCCAAAAAAAAGAAAGCTTTTTTGATATTTGATTACGTGTTGGGTGATTAAAATTTTCTCCGCATATATGATAATTGTATTCTTAGTACTTGATACTTTTACTGCTTTTAATTTTATGTATGGTTTTGTACTTAATATTTTGATAATTTCATAAGAAGATATGGTTTGATTTTTACAACATATAATTTGTAGCACGCAATACAGTTACAACTAAACGCACCGCATTGAAGCAGAAATAGCGAATTAGTATTCAAAAGATGTTTCATTTGTGTTCATACGTAGAATTGTATTTAAGTAAAGTAAATGTATTTACAAGTATCAAGAAACGTCACTTAATTTATTAAAATGTACTTATATTAACTTCGTCTTGATAATGTTCTTATCGTTATCAGTTATAATTAAGTCATGACGTTTAATGTTTGAAGTTCTTATTACCCACTTAATAAGCAAACAATTCAATTATATGAAGGTACTTTAATATATTTTCAGACGTGTGTTGCGGCAAAATATCTAATTCAATTTATTATGTAAACAAGTCACAAGTTTACCAAGGTTCTATGTATGCATTTATAAGAATACATTTGATTTTGAAATATTATTAAACTTCAAGTATTATATCCCATGTCTAATTTCTTTTAAGAAGCAGGTCTTAACGGGAATCACTTGTTATTATAATTCAGATGCTCGTGAAACTTTCACGTGTCATGTTTTACTTTCTCTGTAATAACTTGTCGTGTGTCAATAACGTTGGCCTAGAGTGCTACATAAAATTGCAATATAAAACCGTATGCAGCTAGCTCAGCATTTTTAAAGGGGTGATACTCAACATAACCGGGCCAAGGCCTTGCAACTGCGACGGGGTATCCGATAAAACCGACGCCAAAGTTCTACAATTTAAAGAACTTAATCCGATCAATGTGTATCGCTTTTAATAGGTTTCAGGCCACGATTCGACCTACATAACCTCAATTATAATCCAATGCTATTCTAAATATAGTCTTTGAATATTTGAAATATTTTGAACATTGTTGCTGCCAAGGTTTCTTTAAATTATTGTATTTTGTAATACAGTTAATGTAGTCATCTCACAGACAAGTGATACGCATCAGAACTTCCTTATGAATTAATGCGGCACATGAAATAAGTCCCGGGTATAGACCCTCAAAACCCTAAGGATTTGAGTATACTTTTATTTTTAGTAATAATATATCCAAAACACTCGGCGATGTCTCACAGCTGAAATAACAAACTGCAACGCAAGTTTAAACTGTTTTAATATTCAAATCAAGAGTTTACGTGGTCTGCGAAATCAATTTAACATAATTATAATACATGGTCCATTGTTTCAAATTTAATTTTAATTTCGTATCCCATTCCAATGAAACCGTCCATAACGCTGTGGGTGATTCATAAAGAGATGTGTTTTTTAATAAAGGAAAACACCTTGAGTGAGGTAGGTCTGTTCATAAAGTCCAACATAAATATAAAACTTGTTTTAAGATTCTACTAATAAACGAATATAATTTCTTCCTTATCAACAGATTACCGTTTTTTATATAAATGTTTTACTTAGTAGCATATTTCTTGTCGATGTTTTTATTGACTGAAAAACAATCGATCACTGACAGTTTGTCTTAGCTAACTTATTGTTGCCATTGAGAGGATTTACATTTGCAATATATTTATTTCATTAACATTTCGTGATATCGCAATGGACAACGTCGCGCCATATTACTTGTGTCAAAAAGCAGTACACGAACAAGTCAAGGCTATTTGACGACTGAACACGTCACGTGCTTTCCGACCTTTTGCCGCCGCGTCTTACAACATGACTTGGTATTGTCACTGAAAACTTAAACAGGTTTTTCAATATAGCAATTTCATATTATTGAATATTATTTCTTTAATATTATTACTATTGTAGAAATAAATATTCAATTTCATGGTTAGTTTTCTGTATCCATTGTTTGTTTTTTATAGTCTTTTCGCGCATTAACTTCGTAAGTCATCTACAACTTTACAAATAATTTTAACGTCTTCACATTGTATTTAATAGTTTCTTGTCCAGTTTAAATCTTCTCTTTGTTATTCGTAGTCACGACGCACATCATGTGCATTCTGAGATAGAATGATATTTTCTAGAAGTTTTGCAACGATAAACGCCGAGGTTACGAGGCAATTGGCGTAATCGTGTCTTTTTCTATTTCCTCTTGACCGTGATGTTTGCTAAGTTCTTTAACTAGATGATTTGTCACAATAGGCAAGGAATCATCTGTTATTTGTTCTGATATAAATACAAACAATTTTTTTTTGTTTATGTGATTTGTAATGACTTACTTATATGATGGATAATAATTCTCATTACATTGACTAACATCCATGTCCTAGCTTTTGTAATCTAAAGGTAATCGGTTCATAAATTCCAATGGTTTTGTTTAATTGATATCCGTAGATATAAACATAATCTATACTATAAATTATACAGTACACTATATCATGCGCCAGTTCTTGTTTAACAATGTTCGCGAAAGGAGGTGTTGTTTAGTAAATTTTATTAGTTTCTGATTAATGAAATTTGCAAAACCAGACATTGTACCAATAACTGAATTTCAAATATTAAAACCAAGATAAATTTGGAATATGACAGACACGTTATCGTGCCGTGACAATGTAATAGCTTTCCTCTAATTCATACTTCACGATTCTGCTAGGTTTTTACCAGACTTACTTCGAAACAGACAATATAATTAGTGGAGTGCTACGATGAGTTATGTATCAGTGAGCGTCGGGGGACATTTGCAATAGGACGTCGATGGAGGGTGGTGCAAGTCGGGTGTGATTCGAGGGTGTGTGTGCTGTGGGTGGTGGTGCATCGGGGGAGAGGGGTGAGCGGGGCGGGCGGGGCCGATGTCCGCGGCTGGGGCACGCCACGGCGGCGGCGGAGGGTGGCGCGGGGGAGGGCGCGGGCGGGGGGCGCGCCTCGCCGCCGCCCGGCTTCGATCGCGAACTGTTCCGCGAGCTGAGCTTCCTCCCCGACGCAGAGCTACGCGAGTGTCTCGGCGAGTACCCCGACTTCCTGTACCATGTGGCGCGCGACAGGTTCGGCCGGCTCTACTTTCGCGTCATAAGGACCTTGCTCCTTGATCGAGGTACGGCAACGCCTGATACCACCGCACTGATCATCTCATCATCTTCACCTGATATGCGGATACTTCAGCGTGTTTTCTTTACCTAATCTTCGCACAATGTTCTATCTTGCTTTTCTCCTCTATTTGCTTTGATCCTCAATACTTCATCATCCATTTATATTTGCAATCATATTTTATGTAACCTGCGGCGACATTCGATCATATGTTAGTATTAACAGACAGTATAATAAACAATTCACTTGGCGCGTGGGTCGACACAATAGGTGGTAAAAAGAAAATATTATTCATTATTATTATAGTTGAGGTCATATATCTTATGTTTTAAGTAATAATGAGGTAGTACTGCTTTAGAATAATAATGAAATGAACGAGGAAAAGCTGCAGATTTAAATGGATCATTTGAATCTTCGTCATCTCTTATGTTATTGTGTTTTAACTTTAAAATCAACCTTTGAGTTTGATGTGTTTGTTAAAATTAATATAAAATGCATGATATCTCTTCAATGTCAATGTTTGGAAGGTTTTACAATGTTTGGAAGGTAGATGTAGTTGGCAAGATGCCGAAATGTGATATAAATAAAGAAGATATTCCTGTTTACATACTGCGTGATTCTTTCTTTTCTTTATTGCGATCAATAATATTTGAATGTGAACTAAAATAATTAGCTCAATAACCATATCGATCTTTAGTAATTTATCATTTAAACGTCAAATTTTTCCTTCCTTCTCTTTACTCGTCGGACTTTTTGCTCTGTTGATATTACATACGTTTCACGGAAAGCTGCTGGAAATAAAGTCGTAGTATAGACAATCGTTACGCGTTCAAACACTGCGAGGTGTTAGGTAAGGGGTTGTAAAAAGTGAACAACACAATGCAAGTTGATTGCATGCAAGATTTAAACATTTTCTCATGAGTTTCTTGTGCTGTTAGAAAGCAATTTAATTGAAAACAAATCGATCTCTTGTTATGACTCGCTTACGTCAAGAATATTATTCAGTGGTGTGCTAAATTATCTATTTTTAGTATGCTTTTGTCATTTACCATCAATATTTTAAGCCTCGCATTTCTAGATTTCGAGGTCTAAGGTTATTCTTCAAGGTACGAATATCGGTTAGTTATTTTCTGTTTTTGATTAAATACTTTTTAATTTTAATGTCACTTCTGTGTTGTCTCGATCTTTGGTAAGACAGGTATCAATAAACTGTAAGCATGTTTTGTCTCCCGTACTCATTTTTCCCATGTTGCACAATAGAACACTTTGTTTTGCTCGAAGCGGGCGCGGGCGGCGCGTTCTCCGCACTCGCAGTCTCTTATTCGGTCCTTCGGTTGGCGCAAGTGTTATCATCACATTTGATCAGCCAATTACGTTAATAAAATAAATTTTTATTATCAATCATATTCAAGAATGTTATCGTAAATTAAAAATCGGACTAATGAGCGTACTTAATAATATCGATGATATTTTAGCGGGTTCGTATTTATTTTAAACAATGTGTAGAGTCCTTTAAGAATGTACATATCTTATCTATATTGGTGTAGTGGTGATTAAATAAATGCTTTCAGGTGAAAACGTTACACGCGACTCAGTTCGATTCACAACAGTTTAAGCGTGCGTTAAGTTTTCTATGTGTTATGTCGGGTACGGTTGTTTCTTACTATTGTTCAGACGTTTATAATTCATAGTGTTTCATTAGATACGAGCATAGAGAGAAAGTTGTTATGTGAAAACGTAATACGTCTCCCGTTTCGGTCGTTGCATGCGCGCATCTTGATCGCGAGGTCAATCATGGAAACAATAAAATTAAAAAAAAGTTCTATTTTTGTTATAGTAATTAGTTTTAGAACTTTCTCTTTATATCTTACATTTATCAATCAAAGTTGTACCTACGTGTGTTTTAAATAATAAATAGGAGTGAAAAGTGAAGCGATATTTATTACCTGGGGCGTTGGGTGCGGGTCAGATTGAGCTTTGTAAAAGCTACGCGCTTTGTAAAACAAGACTACAAGCTTTAATCGTTTAAGTGCCTTTACAAGTAAATTATAATTTGATTCTTGACATTTTTTTGTTACATCTAAGTAATTTAAAACAAAAACCTTTTTATACTTTTTGTGTTCAATAATGATGAGAGCTCTTCTCTTGTGGTGGAAATCGGAAAGCTATTATTAATTACTTTTAGCGTAGGTCAAAAAGTCGTGAGAGTTTATTTTATAAAATGAACATACACAAATAAAATACTCAAACTTGATTTACTTTCCATTATTCGACAGTTATAATTTTTTTCTTTTTATTTAGTTTTGTCATGTTTAGTCATGTTTTCCTATAATTACATGAAACTCTAATGTATACGGATTAAAAAAAAGAGAAATATAAGTATAGTTGTTTTGTTCTGTTTACAGTTCTATGCAGCAACAGGGTGAGCCAAATGACAAAGACCTACAATGACATCGAAGCGGTAACACGGCTCTTAGAAGAAGTAAGTGAAATCTGTTTTAATTTTATATTAATAAGTTTTGTAATTCAAGTATACCCAATACTACCTATGTTTTAATAGACCTAGTTTAAAAGAAGGTTATCTTAATATATCAATTTCTTTATCTTGTTTTGTTTTAGTGGCTAGGTAAACATATTACGTCGTAGCCTCATGTTAATGTATATTGGTATTATTTTGTCCTCAAACCATCGAGCGTCTAAGGGCTGATGGCGGTCGATATGTGAAGTGAAAATTTTAATTGGTCGTTTTGTAGAAAGAGAAGGATTTGGAGCTGACAGCTCGTATTGGCAAAGAGCTGCTGGCGGCGAACGGGCGGCTGGAGTCGCGAGTGACCGCACTCGAGGGCGAGCTGCGAGGCGCGCGGGACCTCGTCACGCAGCTGCGGCACGACCTCAACGCCAAGACTGAACTGCTGCAGGTAAATACAAACTTCCGATATACCAGACTAGCTGTCGAGCTGTCGTCCGCGACACCGTCCGAGCAGATTTAAAAATATATGTTTCTCCAGACTACGTTGTTAACAACGTCAATACCAAATTTCAATGAGATCCGTTGACCCGTTCGGGAAATACCTTCCAACCGACATACATCTATCCATCTAAACATTGGCATTTACTTTATAACTAAGATTTTACTGTACGTCAAATACTTTTAATATGAGTTTTGCGTCAATAGAAACCCACGGTAAAATAGTATTAACCCATACAAAAGCGACAACTAGTAATTAGAATGTTGCACTAATTATGTAAAAAATATGGCAATCTAATCTGATATAGATTATAATTGTTTTGCACTTTTCAGAATCGGAATAATTAAATTTCCGGTTGTATGGTTCATGTTTATTTCCTTACAATGACAGCTGCAGGAACGCAGCAACAATTCATCAACACGCACAAACAGTTACATGTACATGTTAAGAACTTTCATATTTCGTTTAATAAAGTTAAATATTAAGAGTACGATAACACTGTAAAACAATAGAATTTGTAGATTCTTTCAATTGTTATGTCTACAAAGCTTACGTTCAGTATTGTTACATTTTTTTTTCCAAAGTAATCTTACCTATATTATAAATCCCAACGTATGGATGGATAGATTGACGGATGGATGGATGTTTGTTTCTTTGAAGATATCAAAAGCGGCTAAACGGACCCTGTTGAAATTTAGCACAGATGTAGAACATAATTTGGAAGAACACAAACTACTAAGTTTTTTAATTCCGCGCGGACGGAATCGCTGGCGTCAGCTAGTAACTCACAATTTTATTCAATCATAGCTGTTTCAAATCAGTTATTTTAAACGTAACTATACTTCTAGTACCGTATGCAAATCCACTTCCAAGCGTTACCGTTACATCAGTATTGGAAATGGGAAATATCAATATAAGCATCTTCCGCACTAAAGTCACTATAATAAATACTTCGATAAAGAAAAATGTGAAATACAGACGCAAATTATTTAAAGTATAATTCAATATTCTATAAAAAGTAATAAAGTGAAAATAACAATATGGCAACATTGATGTCTACCAAAAACAAATCACGTGATATGATCAATGCAAATATCTTGCAGATTCGTCATTTTATTAAATAAAATGTCAAATAGAACTATGTTTTATAGATTTTTATTAAGTAATTGCTAGTATTCTTTTGTTTTTCATATTATTACTCTGGAAATAAACAGAATGTTTTGTTACATTTGATAATTGACCTTCATTTATCAACGGTAGTTATTTCAATGTCGTTAACCTAAGACAAGCCGGTGTTTTGCCTAATGGTAAGTTTAAATGGTATATTAACGTGTTATTCTTTTTAAATAATTTAAATGTGACAATAATCATTGTATTTTATTTATGTTATTGATGATTGAACTAGTATATTGCCCTATTTATTCTATTCTTCAAGTTTACCACGTCATAACTTTACGGTAACGCTGACGCCGATTGTTCAAATCATTTATTGTGCAGATTATAAAGGAATATGTTTAAACAATAATATGACAGAACAAGATGAAGTATTAAAAAAAATCGAAAGACTCAGACTTAAGAGTTCACTGTCAAGATCTTAGGTACTGTTTAACATAAATATGATGTTTGCATAGTGATACCATATGCTCGTGTACTTTGTTTATATTTTTAACATTAAATGGGGTAGGTGTCGCATGTATTTAAAAGATCGCAATCTCGAGATAACCGTACGCATATCCTTTACGTGACTTTAATAATATTGTGTCATATTTTTATCTTATTAGATAAAAATTGTATAAACCGGAGCGATGTTAGCGTTTTAATTATCATTTTTACTTTGCATTTTATTAATTATTTAAATGTTGGGCATATTGTCAATTAGATAATAAAGTAAATTATACATTTTAAATTGAAATTTTTCACAAATTCATTTGTTACTTCCAAAGCATATCAAGATTTTTTTTTCTTTAGTACTTTGACTGATATTATTTTGCCATAAATTATAAAAATATTGTTTGTATTGGGATGTAGGTGCTAACAAATGACACAGAGGACAGCACTCCGACGGAGGAGCAGGAGCCACCCACGGCGGTGGCGCTGCGCAAACGCACGAGCGCGCTGGAGCGGGAGAACCGCGCGCTGCGCGACGAGGCGGCCAGGCTCGCTGCCGGCGCTGACTCCGCCGAGCTGGCCGAGCGACAGCTGCTCCGGGATATCGCCAACCAGCTCTGTAAGTATACACATTACTTACCTTATTTCAGCAACTACTCTCTTGTCTAGCCTGACTATGGATCTAATGGATAAAAAATACGAGACAAAACTTTAACGTTAAACAGTAACAATAGCAAGAAGAAATGTAAATGGTGGTGTATATGACAATACTAGCCATGTCTTAGTACGCATGAGCAAATGATGGATGTATGGAGACGGAATTCATGATGTTCGTGTTATCCGATGGCCGTAAAACGAAATAATATAAGGCCGTCGTTTAGTACAAAAACAGCTAAATAAGTTGTGTGTCAAATTGTTTATATAATTCGCGCTTCGTCATGTTGTATTACAACATCGGTATGTAATTCAAAGCTCGGCGCGGAACCAATCGCGCGGACAATGGAAACTACGGAGAATCGATCGCAACTTAAGTTCAGTTAACAACAGTTCGGATAAACAACACACATTAATTAAAGTTTATTCTGCCTGAGACGATTGGAATACATAAAACATATGTATTTATATATATTTTGTAATATTAACAGGCATATATTATTTTGTCATAAATGTTAATTTTATTATATTGCTACGTTCGCTATTCAGATAAATAAACCTCAATAATCTATCATTCAGTGTGTAATTAAAAGAAATTATTTTCTCCCTTTGTCATTTAAATATATACAAAATTATGTATTTGTTGTTTTGTGCAAATTCCGTTTACACCGCAATAGCGTGCTAACTACTGCAGTAATTTGTTAACTGCTTGAAATAACTTTGTTCTCATTGTTTATTTCGAACAAAAAATACAGACGACTGTTTAACTTTGTATACTTTACATTGTCTTGGTTAAGTTTGGTTTAGTTTGTGTGTTTTAAATAACAGCAAAGCGTTTAAAATTGTTAATTTATTTTGTTTTAATGTACTATGGGTATGAATTTTATTTATTGTAAATAATTTATATCTAATATGTGATAATTTTGTTATTTAACAAATAACAGATAAAGTAAATATATTTATAGATTGCATAAGCTATTCACACGAATGTAAGTCGTTCGAACTTGTATTAGTGTAGTGCAAATCAAATCACTGCAAGGTTATTACGTTATCACAAGTATAAGGCACAATGATACTTTAAAATGTGGTTTTCTTAAACATTTTCCTCGTCCGATAAACAGAATTATACACAACTTTGCAACTAAAATAAAGCTCGTCTTTTATTTAACTCTACTATGTCATTTTTATACTTTTAACCGTTGGCTTTTCAGATTAAAATCTCTGTATAAAACATATCGTCATCCCTGTCATTATCTTCGACAACATAGAGATAACAATATGTTGTAATTGGGGATTTTAGTCTAAGAAACCCACGGTCAGTCATATTCTATTAAACTCAGTTTCATATCAATTAACAACGATTCAACCAATGTTATATGATACGAAGTTTAGTTAGAATATAGTCTGAATTCTTAGGTAAATCGATTTTTGAAAATGGACAAGATTACGCAGAAGATAAGGAAGGAAAGAGAAGATTTGAGTTCGGTGTAACAAGGTGGCCTAGCAGTGTGTTTTCTAGAAGACTTGCACCCTGTCAGACCATACTTGTTTCAACGAATTCTTTATCATCGAGTAAGAAGAGTCAACGTAAAGAAGAAAATATAGGAAGAAGAAAGTCCGCGAACATTTTTAACTTTTTACATTTGTATTAATAGCCGATAGAAAACCCAAATAAAAAAATCGTAATATATTATAAAGTTTCCCGTTTATCAATATATTAAAAATTAGGATAACAAAACTGTTTAGATTATCGAACCTAGTCCAAGATTTTTTCAATAAGCTTCTAATACTGAAAGCTTAGCTTCAACTAAGTTACGCTTTTTATTATAAAAAAAAACCATCTATTGAATTCACACGCAGACAGGCATAAGCGCGTATTATCTATTATTTTTCTATTTATTGTTAATATAATATTTTATCAAAATGTATTTGTTGTACTTTTTATATTTACACACTTATATACGTACAAACAAAGAAACAATTGTTTCGCTGATAAACATCAAGGCCGGCCCAACAATAGATGGCGTGCGCGTTCACTGTAACTTTCTTCATAGCCAAAGCAATCGGTATTCATGCACTCAATATCTTAATTAACTATTTTGTCGTTCGCAATTATTGTGTTGCAAGTATTTGTACTGATACAAAGAAATTAATAAACGGATTTACTAACTTTGATTAGTTCTCAAGATTAACTCGATCCCGTTAAGACAAAAAGAAAACTTTATGTAACGAGAGAAAATATGTCCCATGCTTGGATTATAAATTTATTGATGATTTATCTTCGCTTCTTAAGTCGTCGAATTTTAAGTTTTTTTTTAATGTATTTATGAAAATTAAATTTATTTATTTTAATCAATTTTGACAGTAACAAGATGAAATTTGATAATTAATATTATAGTATGTAATTTGTTAGGTTACTGATACTAAATGTAATAAAATGTATTCAGCCAGTGCAAATACTGAGGCGAACGTGCTGAGTTCCGAACTGTCGGAGGAGAGGCAGCGCTCCGCGGATCTGCAGCAGCAACTGGACAGTGCTAACTCCAGGCTTGTCGTCACAGAACGTAATTTGCAACAGGTATTGTATAGTATAACCGTAGAACTTCACTGTTGGTACATTTATATTAAAACATATATTATCTGCTCTTTAATAAAATAAGGACTAAAATATGTATTAAGATAAGTTTCATGCTAGTCAAATTTTAAAGCACTTCAATGAAAACATTTTGTTAACCTCCTTGAAAACATAAATAATATTTGCAAGTAAACAAGCTAATTAGGTCGAAAAAATCTAAAAATAGAGTTATCGCGCTTTTATCTCCAATCATTGACATTCCAAATTTTTATCATCATTAACAAATTGTAATTTTTAATTTTATATATGAAAACTTGGATATGATTTAAGCACTTTTTCTAAAGTTTTTTTTTATGATATTTCTTTGTTCACAGCTGTCAGCCGAACACGAACACACGTTACGAATTTTAGAAATAACTAGGGAAAATCAAAATGCACTCGCAGCGGAGTTGGCTGATGCCAAGGTAGGTTTTATTATCATTCTTTCTTTATCAAGACACTTTAAACATCTTTATTATAGCCACACGATGTTCTTGAACTATAAATAGTTCATTTTTGAACCACCAAATCATCTAATTTCATCTTGCATTATTGAAAGTGTGATTTTTGATTTGAACATGTACATTTATTCGACGCATCGTGTGATAAATCAACCCGCACTTTATTAGCGTGGTTGACTGACCTAGTCACCCCGGTCTTAAGCTAGGCTCCGAGCCTCTCAGCGGGGACATATAGTGAGCTGACGATGATAATTGATGTTCCATCAGGAGCGGTACATGGAGGTGGCGGCGCACCTGGCGGAGGCGCAGGAGCAGATGCGGCAGTTGCGGCGGCGCGGCGAGCCGGCGCGCGGCCTCATGCCAAGCGTGGCGGCCGCCGCCGGCCTGCTACCCGGCCTGCCCACTCTGCCCAGTTTGCACCGCGAGATGCACGCCTCTGTGTACTCCGAGCTCAGTCTCGACTCCGGCATCGGCGATCCCCTCGCACAGTCAGTACATACATCCTTTTGTCATCGTTTTTGCTGTTTTATTGACAGTGAGACGCAGATTCTGTCATTTCATTTTGTTAAAAATATATTACTATCACGATATCAATTGACACAATAATATATAAGTATATTGTTTCCAGTTCAAGCATGCAGAAGGTGTTTGAGACGGTGCAGTGCGCGTCCAGATGGTCTGGTGCATCTGGCGCGTCGGGCGCGTCGTTGGCGGGCTCCGACGTTGCGGACGGCCCGCTGCATGCATACAAGCCACCGCTCAAGCCCCCATCCGCGGACTCCTTCCTGGACTACTCCTCCGACGCTGAATCTGAGGATCTTTATCCGTAAGTCTATAACGAATCATAAATTGTTACAGTTTAGCATATTTTTACAAAGGCACTGGCTCAAATTGTTCAGTACTTCTTAACTCACAGGTTTTGTTTCTAAGCAGTAGTAATCTATTATTATTTCGTTTTATTATATTACTATAAAATATCTACTACTTTATATTTTAATTTAGGTTACTAATGTAATTGTTTTGTGTCAGGGGCGGGTCGGGTGTGGGCGTGCCGGGCGCTCCGGGCGCGGCGGAGCTTGCGGCCGCGCTGCGTCGTCTCACGCCGCAGGAGATCGACTCGCGCCGCGCCTCGCTCGCCGCCTCGCACATTCTGCGACACCGCAAACACAATGGTAAATTAACTACAAACAATAAGAAACCTTGTAAACTACTCTTCACTGTGTTCACTTCGTTATCGACACGTAAGAACCGCTGCTATGTTATGATCAATTACAACATTGTCCAATATTTGTATTTACGTATCGAAGGAATGTAGAGTGTGTAAATAACATCATTGAAACCAAACAAAGACAATCAATTTCAAAAGTTACAAGTGCTGTGCAAACGTAGATAACGAAGTTTAGTTGAAGTATCGCAAGCTTAAGTATTTTACTGCTTGTAAAGTGTCTTACATTGCCGTTTGTGGTCAGAAAAGGACGCGAAGTGACATACTTTAATTGAAAAGTAATAGGCGATTTTAAACTCATATTAAAGTACGTTTGTATGTGTGTTGTGTAGAGCGGGACGTGAGCGAGGAGAGCGCGGTGTGGGGCGCGGGCGCAGGCGGCGGGCTGGCGCGGTTCCGCGCGCCGCACAAGCTGCAGATCGTCAAGCCGCTGGAGGGTTCGCTTACGTTGCACACCTGGGCGCAGCTCGCCAAGCCGAACATGTCAGGCGAGTGAAACACACATACCGAAAATATTAGTGTATCTTAATTTGTTTATTTATGAAAATAAAACAATTCATTCATCAATCAATAATTTATAGGTTTATTAGAGGAACAAGAGGGCGTCGCGGTGCGTGGCAGTCGGTCAACGGGTGTGGGCTCGCGACTGTACCGACTGTCCGACGTCGAGGAGGACGACGATATGCTGCGCCTACCGCACTCCAGCCACATCTACACCTTCACCAACAGGTATTTGTCAACTTAGTCTTTTTTATGCCTGCTTTTAAGGTTCTCATTCATTTGTCGCACACAGAAATAATATAATCAGTTCTGTGTGCGACAGTACGGTGCTGCACCCGAACGACGGCAGCCTGGCGGGCAGCAGCACGAGCAGCGTATGCGGCAGCGGCATGAGCAGTCTGTCCAGCAGCGTGCTCGGCACCGCGTGGAGCTCGCGCCTCACCTCGCGCCGCTCCTCCGCCGCCGGCTCGCCAGACCGCTCGCGTCGCGACTCCCTCTGTGCGCCGCCCTCGCGCCACCACTACTCGCCCACCGCTACGCCCGCCAACAGCCCGCTGCTGGGCTCGCCGGAGGCCACTCCGCCCGCCACGCCTCGTCCCGGCGACGCCCCGCCCTCGCTGCACGCCCTCATCGCCAGCGGCACCTCCATCCTGCGCCGCCGGTACCTCGCCTCGCCAGCCGCCGACGGGGCGCTGGCCCCGCTCGCGCTGCAGACGCCGGGCTCGCTCTACACCGGTCTCGTTCACCGTAGCCCCATGGAGCAGCTCACCTGTCTCAAGCGCACGCTGCGCTCACCCGCCGCTCCCGCCGCACCCGTGCCCTCCACCCCGCCCGCGGATACGCCACTCGGGGTGCCCGCACATCCTGGCCAGGGAGCTCTCGACACACCCGGTGCTTTAGACAGTATGAAGAGCGGAGGAAATGGTCGGCGGGGTCGGGTGCGGGCGCCGCGGCCGCGCACCGATCTAGGCACGGTAGGAGCTGCGGGCGCGGCTCCGGCGCCCTGTCCGCCCGTGCAGTCGTCCTCCCCTTTGGGCACGCTCAGCTCCCTTCTGTTCGGCAGAAAGGGTGGACTATTGTAAATAAATAATTTTCGTTGCATCGAGACTTATACGTTTGGCGCTACTCGACCCTTAATCTAAATCGAGTATTCACATTAGTATGAGATTTCATGTAGAAGCAAATTGATTATTAATAAATTACGTTGATAATTATTTAAAGTCAATTTGTCGTTGCATTTACTACACACAAATCATACTACAGTAACCATGCACATAAACACTTATAGAGTGGACAAAGTCTAACTTTGCATTAAATGTTTGAAAAACACTAATTGTTTACATATTTTTTCTGCTATTGAGAATACGATAAAGGTGCGGGTAGTTGCCGTTATAATTTTATCACTTGTGATTTAGATTTAGATCGGATTTCTCGGTGAGGAGTTTGTATGCGGTACCTATCATTAGTTTTTAAGTAGTCATCCAAATATTCATCCTATAGATGAGATTTTTTTACCTTTTGAATTTTGTTTAATTGTATCGTCCTATTATTGTGTTAATTTTTTGACATTGTTTTATTTTGTAGTTAATTTTTTCAACAAAGAGCGCGCATTCGTGCATTTATAACGACTGATTAAAGAAAAATGATAAGTGTAGATGGTTCAAAGCATTTTGGTGCGTGGTGCTGTGTGTTTGGATTTCATCGCTGGGTAAATCTCTTGTTATACTTATGAGCATGTCACAGTAAAATATGACACACTATTTGCTATGCACCAATTTGACTTGTACGATCTATACTGAACGTGTTGGGCATCGCTTCTACTCATGTAATGGCATTTTTGTTCTCTCTCTTACACATTCCTAACAAACGCAGTATTTTATTTGAAGATCGCTCAAAAACGAAGAGAGATACATTACAAGGACCAAGCATGCGAGGTTTTTATTGATTTGATAATATTTTTTACATCAATACATCACAGATAACCCAGTATTCTTTACCTTTAGATACTTAATTTGTGTATTATTTTGTGTATCGAAGTGTTTTAAGGTTGTTATCAATTGATTGTATATTATAGTTAATATTAGGTGCATTAGATTGACAGTCGCATTGACGGTAATATTTTTGGCTTTAAAATTTTCCATTGAAAAAAAACATAAATCATTTTTCTAATCTAACAATTAGTCATGAAAACTTGTAAATAACTAATGTAATCATTAATTTAGAAGAGTACAAATTATTTATGTTTTTAATAAAATATCACCAAGTAATATCGAGAATTAGATACGATTATTAATAATTTTAAAAGGCAGGTTAATTTTGTGTTCGTCCAATATTTGTATGTACCGTTAATAATTCATATAAATAATTCAAGTTAATCTTTTCTTTCTTTTTGTAGAATTTAAAGATTCAGGGTTTTAAAGGCGTAATGGTGCATGCCATAGGCTAAGTAGGATAATAGTGTTGGCTACTAATTGTAGAACATTGTGAATTACACAATATACAGATGTCAGATGTTTCCTGTCCGTGCTGTCAGAATATTGTTTTACTACATTTATTAATTAATGTTGATTAAGTTATTGAATGGGGGAGAGGAAGTGACAATTCAATCAAGTGGCGATATAATTAAGGGATGATCGATGTTTCTAATGGAACGTTTAAAAAATCAATAAAGAATTTTTTAAATAGTTACATCATGTAAGTAATTAACAGTTTTTTTTCTACTGTTAGCTATCAAAAAATATTTTCATTTCAGTTTTTTCAGAGGAAGAGGCACGAGAATGTGCTTTTGTACAAATAGGATCATCGAACATCCCTTATTCAATATTAACTGATGATATTTGAAAATAAAAAATAATAAAAATTTATATCGCAGTATTACCAAAGAATTTTCGACCACAAATGTCACGTATAGAGGATTTTGCATTGGTTCAAGCCCCTCCTCCCCGTTGGTGCTAGATAGTTACTATGCCAACACAGCGATTAGCAGGAAATCGCACTTTTACTAATTGCAGTTAATTCAGTTTTCAAACATACAAAGAATACACCAGATGGCGTTAGGGTATTCACTACCGAAACATAGACACGAAAACATATTGCTATTTCTTGTTAGTAGCGAAAATGAAAGAGAAGATGCAGTGGAGTCTTTTGCATGTTTTCTACATAGTTTTGTCTTAAATTGAAATTCTGTTTTTAAAAATGAATACATAACATCAAGCGCAAAATCACATATGTTGAAATGTATGTCAAGATTAATTTTAAAAGATAACCATAGTGAAGGTTTAAATGTTTGTAAACTGAATAAACCATATTAAGAGTCGCTGGTAGATTTATTGTATAGGTGCAATTGTTTTTGTCAATAATTTCCGTTGTGGCTACAATCGGTGTCGTTATCTTAAATGAAAATGATTAATATTCGATTGGTATTGACGAAAGGCTGTGAGCTGTGAAGGGGATATTTGTGTGGAATTGATAAGATCGTCATTGAAGCTAAAATGTTTGCTAAGAAGCACAAATTGTAAATTGTAAGGAAAGATTGAGATTTGACGAATCAAACAATATTATACAAGTAGCTCCGATTGTATTATAATAGAAATATAATTTATTCTGAAAATTACCATGTCTTTTTCATTCCCTATTACTAAAGATTTAAATAAAAAAAATATTGGAACAACTCTTTCCCATTAATATGCATTGATACATTCAGGGAAAGATGCTGAACTAGTGCCTATTAATATTTTCCAGGTAATAAGAAAAGAGGACACCCAGCGGTAAAATTCAACTGTATTTTTATCAAAAGTTAATAAAATTTCTTTATGCACATAGCTAATAACTAACTTACTAATACTCTCATTACCAATAGATGGCGTTGCTTCAAAATTTATTCTTTGCGTCTTCCGCATTCATAGCGATAGAGGTCGGTTATTCCAAAATTCATATGTTGTCTGACGTTTCCATAGAAACAACGGGCTTAAATAAAACAAAGTAACAAACTCGTGATCACTATAAAACATTTGATTTAATTTGGTAATTTGCTAAGAGATCTTAATAAAAATGACTGAGCAGATGAAGTTTATTCTGAAGGAAATAAATTCTACTTTAGGTAGAAACTATGATTTGATCAAATTCGATTCATTGGATGAAAAGCAACTCCTGCAACTGCTCATCGATTTGTTGGTTCACTTCAAAGCTGGTGACAAAGTAAGTTATTCGCTTTAGTTATACATAGATTTTTTTGCTAACAATTTTTCCTAATCCTAATGTATGAGTCAGGTTTGTAATATTTAATAGTCGAACAGCTTGCAACAAATGCTGAATAATACCAAAACATTTTATCTAGATTTTGTGAGCCTTAATTTATCCTAATAGTGCTCATTAGTCTCATTTTCTCACCGTAAATTAGTAATTGTTAGAGCTATTGACAGCGTTTACTTTAAATAAGGTGATCCGCTTGCTCGTTCGCACTAACATTTTTATGTTGTATGGTGGTCGGAGGTCGTAAAAATGCGTAGTAAAACCTTTTTGGCCAACTTAATATTTCGTTACTTTTATTAGTTATTTTATGTATCGTTTAGTTATACTACATAATATATGCATTCTATTCTGAAAATTAGTTGGACGTTCGCGAAGATGATTTGGAGACGATATCGGTGCGACTTTTAGAGATGTTGGGCAGTGTGAAGTATCGTCCACCTGCGACCGTGGAACCCTCGCAGTTCAGAGCTCAGTTACTCGCCGGTGACTCAAGGACAATCCACCACGTCATGCATTGGATACTTACTAACAAGGAACAAGTTAAGAAGACCGCTTATCTTGCAAAGTACGAATTTTTGTAGCAGAAACTATACGTAAACTATCGCCCATTTATAAAAAATCTTTAACAATATTAAATTTAGTCTACGTAATTCAGGGATCATGTAGTAATCAGAAAATAAAAGGAATTCGGTCTAATTTTGGCGTTTATTCATTATATTGTGTAGCTGTTTAGTTTTTTTTTCTTTCATCAGATATCTAAAAGTACCAGACATTCCTCCCGATGTAGTCCAGAACAACACTATTCAAGATCTTTTGGATTTGTATCAGAATTTGATGGACGAATTCAAAGAAGTTCATAAAAGAACAAGACTTTTGGAAAAGGAGAATGCTACTGAGATTATCAATGACATCAAAGAAATGGCAGTCGAAAGGGATATAGGTATAACTTTTTAAATAGTTTTATAATTTAACTAACACTTATATTATTTTTACGTCTCAGTGTTTCTTTTCAATTTATATACTATTTGTTTTGTTTTATATTCAAGTGATTAAACGTTTAGAAAACGTTCAAGTTCACTTAATTGATGTGAATAATAAGGAAGAATTACTAAGCTACAGTAAAGCTTTGAGATTACAACAAGAAAGGGCAAAGGAATTGGAAAATCAGGTATCAAAATAAATTTAAATTTAGCGTTCTTAAAAGGTATCAAAATATCCTCTAGTGTCTTGATTTAACATCACGATGTTTGCTTTGTCAATTTTCTTTAGTATGAAATGCAACAGTCGCAACTAAAACTATCGTCCGATCAGTTGAAGAGATATTTAAACGTTATTCATGGACAAAGCGCAACACCAAAATCTGTGAATGACGTGATCAAACGTTTGCAAGAAGAGATCCAGGTACAAACATTTAAAACAATAAGAAAATCTTAGTAGTTTGAATTATTTACTATTCATTGTTTGTTGTTTTTAGCTAAATAATTATCTAGTCAAGGAAAAGCTACCACAGGAAAGTGCACAACTACAAAAAGAGCTCAACATAATGCAAAACGTTGCTATGGAACAACATCCAACGCGGTCAGACATTGTCGCCGTGCAAGAAAAGGTATGAACTGAACTCTTTGAACAGACATAACAAAATGATTTAATACAAATGTTATGCTATACACGTACATATATTAGCTCATTTCAGAACTCGTGACGATCCAATACAAAAGTATACATTCAGACTTTTAATATAGTTAGCGGCAGTGAACAGCGAAGTGGAGCAGACGGTACAGCGTCGTCTGGCCGCGGCAGGTCCTCAGGACGACAAGCTGGCACCGTTCCGTCAACAAGCGACAGTTATCAGGCGCAATAAGGAAGCCAGTGCAGACCGTGTCAATGACCTCACTGCCACTCTTAAGGAGCATGAGGCTGTACTGGCTGATTTGCAGTCGCAAGTAATGTAGCAGACAATATATTTACTATGAACAATAAAAATATATATAGACTTGATACACTTTTTGTAGAAGATTACTTCGTTTAATGCTACGTTTTACGTATTTAGTGGTTTAGTTTAACTGTAAATGACAAAATACTTGAACTGCTCTTACTAATAAAGTTAATGTTACTTAAAGTAAAACTTAATAAGGTTCTGAGATTTGTTGAGATTGGAGAAAAGACTTAAGATTTCCGTTACTCATTTAGATACGTAATAATCCACAGGTAAAAATATAATTAAATCGAACCTTTTATTCATTTGCGGACGCTCTTCGAAGCAAATACTACATTATGAAAAACCAATGGTATATAAAGATAAACGCTTTCCTACGCCTCCACTGAAAGCAAATCTTCGCCATCAAGCGATGTTGATGGAATAAGATATTTTTCCCATTTCAAGTTATCGGTCATTATGTCGAACCGTCGGGAGATTCAGCTACGATAATACCTTCATTATTTATATTCAGAATGATGATCAAATAAACGCATTGATTCGTGTCAGGTTTCGTGATTTATTTTTTGGTAGTCGTATTTTATCTGTTCGCCTTCAGTCTAAGATAAAAGATCTTAAGACATTTTTACATGTATATTTTTGGTTTTATTAAAAAAATGTTTGTTTTATTACAAAGGTGAAGCAACTTCTAGGAGATATGGTATTAAGAGGTGAAGAATTAAAGAAATACGTAAGTTCGTTACGGACAAAGAGTTCCTTGTACAAACGTCAGCGAGCTAACTTGGCCACATTTAAGGTTTGAAATGTTTTTTTTTAAACAATAGCAACTTTTATCTGTTTAATATAAATGTATATTTTACGTAGGTAGAAGCTGGAATACTATCAAGAACATTAAATATTCTGAACACCGCAGACCCAACGATCGAGATGGCATTGCTCAATCACAAAAAGATGAAAATAGATGAAGACGATTTGATAGAAAAAGACAGGAATAAACCTTCAGAGATTGCGAAAAAATCTTTACATGACTTATCACAGGTATATTTATAAAAACTTTTCAATAATAATTTACATTTGGTTAAGAAAGTTTATGCTAATACTAAACTTTGCCCGTGACTTCGTCCGCGTTGAATAAAAAATATTCTTCCAGTAATAAATATCGTCTACTGTTGCTCAGTTATAATGCAGTTTTTAATCGGTCCAGTAGTTTTTGAGTTAATTCGTTACAATCCAAATAATATTAAAGTATAATAGTTTATTTCTTCCAGATCGTAGCACAAACGGCTCAAAAGCTGTCAGAAATGCGTCAAGAAATACAACCACTTGCAGACAAGATTAAACCAATAAAAGATGAATATCAAACGGTACAACAGCAATACGAACAGAAGAAAAGAATATACGAGGCGACGTCAATCAACATTACTTCCCAGATGGAGCCTTTGAAGAATCAAGTCAAAGAGTTGACTGACAAGTTGAATAGTAAGGAGCTCGAGTGGAAAAATCTGCGGCAGAAAATAACAAAAGCTGAAAGCTTACAAGAGGACGTGATGTTTGAAATGAAAAATGCAATGCAGTCGCCGCGTAAACCCTCTAAAATGGAAACATTGAAAAAGAGAGTCAAAGAATTGGAGGAAATAGTAAAGAATTTAGAAGAGGTAGCTTAAATGAACTTTTCTGTTTCGTTTTTTGAATTACATTCATACAGAAATAAGTTCATTCACTGACTTAATGCGTTATAAACTACAAAAGATAGCACTTTTAAGGCCGACTTATAAGTTATATTTTGATTTGTAGTATAATTTTTACGTTTTAATATTTGCAAAATAAAATCACGGGGATAGGTAAATCTAAAATACGCAAAAACACTCAGTAAACATTAGCCAATAGTGTTGTGATGCGTCAATGAACGGTATCTTACGGTTGTATTTCAGGAGCAACGCGAGATCAGTTCCCGACAGGGAGAGGTTGAGGAGCAGATCCAGCTGTGGGAGGGCACGCTGCGCTTGTTGCGCTGCAAGTTGCAGGCTCGTACAGAGACTGTCCCGCAGGGCAAGATGCATATCACTCAGCATTCACAAATGCTCACGCTTAATTAATTGTTAATTGGTCACTAAGGGGGAAATGTACACTAAATGATTGTTTAATCATTAATTTAATGAGTGTAGCAATATCTGATTTAAAAAATTGCGATATAACCTGATGGTGATGGAAAGAAACAACCAGTGTGTTGGTTTTTGTCATTAATTTTCTATTTAAACTATTCATTTCATTATTTCAATCACAACGCACTTTACAACGCGCTATAATTATTTGATGCAGGAACTGCTAAAATTATTCGTAAGACTCTTAGTTCATCACTTGGGACGGCAGTCTGTGTCAAAGACTGATTTTTTTTTCTAATAATTTTATATCCTGGTAACATAGACCATTAGTTCATAATCAAAGACTAAATATTTTAGAAAGCACAGATAAACAAAAAAAACTTTCTTAGGATTGATTTTTTTATTTAGAAATTAATATAAGTATGGTTAAATTAAAAAGAATTTATGAATTAAAAATAAATCTGTAAGAAAACTCAGTGTTCACATTATACACATAAAAAATTGAAGTCACTAAAAAGTTGATATATTTTATCTTGTAAAATATTCTATTTATTTTGTAATTCAGAAAATGTGTTTTTATTTTCTCGGTGATGAAGATAAGAGAATATACCAAATTTTTATGTTTTTGCAGAAAGAAGTAATAATATCGCGTTGGTTTTTTTGACTATAGCTCTTGAACTAAAACATTGAAAGAGCGAGAGCTTATCGCGACACACCGACACAATTTTTTTTAGATGTCCAGTTCACGCATTTTGCCAAATAAAACGCCTTAATAAATATATTATTTAAACTGATTAATAAAAATAAAACAGATAATCTACAATTCTAAACTGTATAGAGTGTTGGGTGTGATAATTTGATTAGGCCTGCGCGGACGTTTCAATGTCGAGTGAGCCCTATTCTGGGATTGAATTTCGGGAAATATTCGGTTAGGATCAAAAGGTACAGTATACATACACATTGAATATTATATTACAATATTTCCTTTTCAAATTGCGATTCAATTTGTAATTTAAATTTATCTATACTAACAGCCGGCGATGTTTCACGGCGTGACCTTTGCCGTAACGCAAAGTGCTTGAGACAATACGCTGATTGTCAGTGTTGCTGAATAATTGGATACCTCTCTTTTAAATTCAGATGTATTCTGATGTCTAATGGTTCAGATACTTGTTGAATAATATTAAATTATTCAAACTTTCGTGAGACATTATACTAAACTGATCTATAAACACGGCTAAATTATTTATTTCTTTATTTCGCGGCCGCGTCCGCTAAATAATACCAGTACCACTCATCCTGATGGGCTCGATACTAGTTGGTGCCGCCACCGGACGTATATACGTGAGTGTTTAGCCGTGTTTATATATCAGTTTATGTTGAATAATATTTTTGGTTTCTGTGTATTATAATATAAAAGTCGAAATTTTTACAAAACTATTTTTTTTTACAATTACAACGAATTCTTCATTTAATTCACATTTTGAAGTAATATTGTAACTATTTAAAACGCAGTAGAAAAAATTGCAGCGTAGTAGAAATTTTAATATTGTTTACTGAAATTTTTGTAGCCGCTTGAAGTTTGCACACTAGTTCAATATAAAGTGCGCATTAATATTCTGCAGCCGGTGAGGATAAAGTTACTTTATTTTATAAAATTTATCTCATAGGGCTTTATAGAGCTTGAATTTTCTTTAACTTAACTAAACTATTTTTTTGTTAATAATTTGCTATTGGTCAATAAGTACGAAAATCTCATCTACTACTCTAAGTACTCTGGACGTATTTCAATTGTCAAAACAATTATTTAAAATGTTGTAGTTTTGTAGTTGACGGTCTAATTATGTAGAAAGGGTAGTCATAACATTATTTTTTTTATAATAAATGCCAGTTTCTATCTTAAAATAGTGGTTTCATTACACATCCGAAAGTTTTTTGATTTTGTAAAAAAAAATATTGAAATATAAACATCTAACGGTCGCGAACGACTGCGTCGCGCAAAATTAAAAAAAAAAACTTAATTAGTAGCCTATATGTTCTTCCAGACTATATTCTACTCCTGTGCCAGATTTTATCGAGATCCGTTCAGCCGTTCTATCTTCAAACAAAAATCCATCCAAACATCCATTAATCCATCTAAACATTCGCATTTATATTAGTAAGATAAGTTTATTTAAATGTAAAAATATATGTAGGTGTACTAGTTAAATAATTACAGAAGTTGATTGTTATTGTTCAAATAAAAGCAACACACTCTTCGATCAAAATGTTGATTATGAATCATTATCATTACAACTTTACACAAAACATATACAAGACACTACGATATATTATAATAAATAAAAACTTTAAGGACACTTTCTCAGCTCATTGGAAAAACTCACTCTTAAATATAATGAAAAAATAAAACAAAAGACTACTCGATTTGATAAAAATATAAAATCTCACGGCGCCCATATGTGCCAGTACTTATTACTTTTATGGTGGCGCCCTCTAACGTAAAGACATTGAATTACGCTTGAACAGTTATAGTTTTTTTTTTAACAAATTAAGTTGTTACGTATGCTCTTTATAAACTAAATGTTACATTAAATAATAGAACTAAATGACAAGAGACATGCAAATCGTATTAAGCCGCGCTCGCCTTTTGGCGTCGCGTCGCCTCGTGCGCCACTTTGAATTGCAGATAAACCACTCAGAGATTGCAATTAATTCAATTGACATTTAAAGCTTCTTCTTTAAAATATATTTCACTTTTTATTCTTCTATGAATAGATAAGGTTATTTGCATCAGCAACTAATTGCTGAAAGGTTGAAATGTAGAGAAAAAAGTATTGTTAAGTTTATTATTTTTTTAAGATCTATGAAATAAATATTGTGATGAATACATACACACACACCCACACACACACACACATACAATTTTGATTTATTCTTTAATCCTCCCCCATGTTATTTATTACACAGAAAATCATCGTATCATTCATAAAAATAAATTAAAATATTTCTTTACTGCCAGTGCTTTTCCTGCCTTATTTTCAAGGCGAGTTGTAATTATTTCGACGCCCTTTTAATCAAATATAATTATATTTTAGATAAAGCTTTCATCGTCTACTGATGCCTTAATTAAAAATAAACGCGGAAATATAACAAATTGAATTGCTTAATCAAAATGTTTTACTAATTCCGCCGTCAATGCAAATAAACACATGCAAAAACATATATCTGTTTTTTTAAAGAACGAGTGTTGATAAAATGTTTTATATTAATATTTCGATATGTAAATATACAAAACCCTTATACTATTAAAAATATTACGTGCAACATCAGTTAACCTCTCAGTTACTTGTATGTCAAACGTTGATCTATTCGAGTTCAACGAACGGTTTACAAAAAGCATAATCAATTATTATTATATTTTTTACTTAACCTTTCTCATATTCGGTTGTCTGTATGTCGCGGTAAAGGTAACGTAGCATATTTCAGCAGCTAACAAGACGCCACGTAGCGATCCGTTTACAAAGGATAAACGGTAAAATGAAACCAATTTACGAACTCCAAAAGCGGTTTCTTTCAACTGAATATTTTATATTTGTTGACATTTCAGTGTCGCGTTTTATATCAAAAGGATATCAACAACGTCTAGACTTTATAAAAATTTACTGATATTTATATTAAAGTGTATCCTAACATCCACTTATTTAAATAGCACTTTTTTACATTTTATTTCAACCAAAGAAGTTATTTTGGACATTATTGGGGCTGGAGCGGTAAGTTTAAGCCGTAACTCGTATTCTTTCTATTACCGTTACTAGATTGCTTTCTTTTGTCGTATGGAACTATGTGACAGTAACAGGATGAAGGATACAATTTTATAGTGTACATTTTTAAAGTACTGAAAATAACTAGTGAACTGGCATTTAAATTCTTAATGATCATATGATCTTTTTAACAGAACAATAATTTTATCATCCATCTATACAACATGTTTTACTAATATTATAAATGCGAACATTTAGATGGATGGATGGATGTTGGTCTGATGGTATCTCCAAAACGGTTGCATGGATCTTGCTTAAATTTGGCACAGATGTTGAACATAGTCTGGAAGAACACATAGGCTACTAATTAAGTTTATTTTAATTTCGTATGGACGGAGTCGCGGGCAAAAGCTAGTTTTAATATAAAACATTTAAGAGAACAGAGCGAAACGTACTTGTTATTTAAATTTTCAAGTAGAAGCGAAATTATAGAATATTTAACGAAACTACGGGCTTCTTTACTTAAGCCAATCTTATTTTCCAACATGGCCGTTTCTATGGTAAATTTGTACGAAGCATGACTGATTATTATTGACAATTTAATTAAAGGGAGAGTTTCCTTTCGAGCAAGTAATGAAAGTTGCTCTCTGATTAATTAATAACAAGAGAATTAATTATAAACCGTGTAATTTTATTTATCAGATGACTGTCTGCTAGATGAAAAAATTGTTTATAAAGATTAACATAATATCTATACACTAGTTAAACGCCACAACGTCACTTTTCTAGAAATTGACAAATATTAATCAAGACATGGTTAATCACCGCTAAAGTACAGTTATTCAATATAATATATTAAAGAAACGATAATAAAATTTTCGTAACAAAGAAATACATTTTGAATTTAAATTTAAAGGTAATTTCATTGCTTACAATTCGAAGAACGAAACATTTTTTTATTTATCAATGAAAACATCGTACATTAAAAGCGTTTTGTCTTGTTTTCGCGTTGAATAATTATTTAATAGCATACATATCTTATATAAACACAAATTAGAATTAAATTTACCAAAATAAGACTGATTTGCGATATATAACTACTCTAAAAGCTTTCTAACATAAAGCTCATTATCTAGGACTGTATACGTTGTAAATTTCAATAAACTTCAAAGACGTGATGCGTGAATACATTTCCCAGGTGTTTAAATTTTAATGAAGTATTAAGATCCTACA